TCCCATTTTCTCCTGGGATTCAGTCGGTTTCTCTCCTCCCATGTCATCTTAGCCCCTTGTCTTCATCTCTGGCCTGTTCAAAACTGAAGATGTGAGACAAAGGACGTCTTGGTGCAGCCTCTCAAGCACAAGATGATGGACAGGTAGGAGGGAAGAACCTCAGAAGCCAGCAGCGAGACGTACACATGAAGGTGGAAGTGAGTGGGGTGAACAAAACTGTTGGGAAAGGCAGAACTGGTGGCCTCTGGAAACACGCAACATGGCTGTGGGGCAGACCTGGTAAAGGGGCTGGAGGAAAGGCAAGAGCGTCTTAAATGCCTACATTGTATTGGCTGCTGACAGTGTCTGGGACAAGCAAGGGCAGGAGGAGTGGGACTGCATGTTTCCAAGCCTGGTAAATGGGTTGAGCGGCTTCTAAAGGTGTTTAAAAAGTTAACACTGTGTTCTGGCTTTCATCTAGGTGGCACAGTCTGACTCCAAAACTGCACCCTTTTGCCAAATGCCTTTCAGCCTCCACCCTGTAGTGTGGGAGAGAAATAGCACACATTTGTGTGAGCAACATCCTCACGACTTCCTCTTTACAGCAGCAGCAAATTCAGTTCACTAAGAATTATGAGTAGTCCTCACTGCAGTGTTTTTGCATGTTATTGTGTTACATAAGAAATATTCTTTCACTCCCTGGGTAAAATGTTCTAAAGGCAGAATGCGCAGCTCGTGCTCTGCTTTGTGTCTGGAACAGCTCCTCCTCAAAAAGACTGCAAAGATACTGGAGATGGGAGTTCTTAGCAGATGTGTGCCCAGGGACTGCTGGGGTGCAGCCAGCAGAAGAATGGACACTCCAGGTCCACAGTGATCCAATTAGCCATCACCTTTCCTTTGAGCTCTTCCTCTCTGAATGTTCTGATCTTTATTTCCTTCAAGTTCGTGCAGATTTTCATTTTACTGCAGAAGTGCCCTAGAACTAATCAGGTGCCATCTCTTGTTTATCCTGAGCAATGCTGAAAAATTCTGTGAGAGAGCCTTTTCTCTAATCCAACTTTGAAAACTGTTTCTATTTCCAGGAAGCACATCCTTTTTTTTTTTCTTTCTTTTCCTTTGAAAAATCATTTTCCTTCCCCCATCTTTCTAACAGCTCCATTTTGACATTTTATTTCCATTTTTTTTAATTCTATAACTACACACCATTGTCAACACTGAATACTGAAGTAGGAGTCAAAGCAAGAAAAATATACAGGTCATACACTAAAAAAAGCTTCAGCAACACAGGTTGACCAGAGACAGAAAAAGAGTGTTGAACTTCCAGGGGGTTTTCCAGCCAGGCTGTAAGAATCCCAAAGTAGGTCAGGCAGGCTGATAGTGTTATGCTAAGCCTTGCTCTGAGAGGTTTTATAAAGATCTTAGGAAAGTCCTTTTCTACTGTCTACATTCTTTTGAGACTAACAGTAAGGACAGGGCTGTCATTTGAAATAGAATTGCTATGTCTCAAAGATAATCCTATGCACTGGGTGACTGCCTGCACAATAAAAATACTTCTGGTAATCAGAAAAACGGTGGAAATCTGTACTTATCACTCCAAACACTATGGCATTTCAGTCTCATTAAAGTATTTATGAATCCTGACTGGTGGGTGACTCTGGAAACATCATTAAAAAGCATCTCAGGTTGTAATGATTGCGATGTTGTACTATAAGATTGAGGCACATTTTAGAGGAAGATATTAACAGCTTCAGTGGATGATCTAAACAGCATGAAAAAAGTGGAAGAGACAGCTCCTTTGTTTAGCTGCCACAAGCAATGGATGCTGGGGTGGAGGAGCAAATCATGGGGAAGAGATGTTTACACATGAATAGACCATACCCTAAAAAGCAGCAAACAACTTACAGCTTGCTTTGGTTTGTCTGCCTAAAAAAAAAAAAATAAAATAGCAAATACCTCTATATACAAATAGAGCAAATGCTTGTCTAACAGTTTACTTCTAGGTCATCCTTCAGTGATGACTATACCAGTGGATCATCTGCAAGGCTGTAGGTCTGCAGACACTGGTTTAAGTTTCATCTTGACAAATTTCTCAGCTTAGCAAGTGCAAAAGCCTACTTCCTTTGTCTCTGCATCAAAAGGTGTGCTCAAAAGTGAATGGAATGCCACAAACCCTAGAGTTGCTCGAAAGAACAGGTGATCTTCACAGTCTAGGTTATTTCTCAAATAACCATCTAAAACCTCATAGTTTGACAAGTGCCAAGGCACACTCAGCATCCTGACCTCGGAAAAGGTGATGATGAAAGAAAGAACACTGTCTCATAAAAGCTTAAGGCAACATCTGGTTTTGCCAGACTCTCAGGAAAATCACTCATCATTCCAAAGGTAAATCACAAAGTGAAAGACTTCACTGAGTGCATCCTTCCACCACATTATTCTTCAAAACATTATTTTTTTTGTTCAGTCTCTAAAACCATTTATTTGACCAATGGAAAAATACAAATCTCTAAACAAAAAATTCTGATTACATCCACGTAGTACTTTTCTACTGAAATGTTATTTACCTAAAATTGATGTAAAGATACAACATTCAGTTTTCCTAAGGCAAGATGACTGCATCTGAGATCAGATGGAGTAACCCTATGCTCGTATTGTGACCTATTTTCCCTTGTACATTGTATGGATGTAAGCACTTTAAGTCTGCATGTTATTTTTTATGGCTTCTTTTACTTCAGGGTAGGGTACTTTATTCAATACATACATAATTTAAGCAAGACAGTGAAACCTCTAGTAAACAGTATCTCAGACAAGCAATCTTTGTCTTATGAATGCCCCTCAACCACTGCAAACATTATCCCCTGAGGCTTCTAATACTGTATTATTCAGGCTCTGCTAAAAGGCACCACCACTACTCAACACATTTTTCTGACAGGTTTAACACTATATATTCTGCACTGCAGTTCAGAGGAAAAAAAAAAATCCATATAAAAAGTAACTAAATCAATTTATGTCAGAAAACACTAACTCAGATTAGGACTGATACAGAATAGCTACTGCCATGTTCTGTGACTCATTTGGCAGTAATATGATCTTTACAGATACCTAATGCAGAGCAGTACTCCAAAGTGAACAGAAAGGATTCTTGATGAAAAATAATGATCAAATTAAAGTAAAAATAAATCCAGTTGTAATGATTGATAGGTGAAAACATTAGACTTTTCTTTACTGTCTTTGAAAAAATAAACAAGCTTTAACCAGTTATTATATTCTGCTTGCCAGTACAGAACAACAGAAACACACACCTTAAACAAGGCCTTTTTATGAGCTACTGAATGCTTCCACTGGTGTCCAGAGCAATGTATTGCTCCATATACAATAACCTCACTAACAGCACTGAGGAGCTGTTCTCCTGGGTTGCAGTGTGTACAGAAGAAGGACGTCTGGCCAAGCAAGCACAGGTGTGTGTGTCTGCCAGCTGCCAGGCAGGACCACTAGAGAAGAGTCCACTTATTCCTCTCAAAGTGTAGAAGTCAGAGGTGAAATGTTTTGTATCAACTAAACATTATTCTGTAATACACTTTTGAAGTGATGCTTTCAGAAATAAAGCGATGCCAGATAGAAGTGTGGTGGGTGTGATGATTGGTGGGAGCTGAATCCTACATCTGGGCTAGTGAGTCTGCTGACTGGTCACATTGTCCTGTGACCCACTTCCTCCCACGTTAAGGTAATGTTAGCTGTTCAATATGGCATAAATACCAATGAATGTCAAGCTTTGTTTGCCTTTGCAGCTTCCCAGGGGCTTTTTCTTATTTTTGTTCACATTGCTGTAAGGTGTTTTTTTTTACATTTTGTGCAAGTGGATTTGAAGTCTGCACCCCTTCTACTTACCCAGAAAGATATCTTAAATCTGTTCAGTTACAGGGTGGCAGAAAATAGACTGTATGTAACAAACCTTACTTTGAGGATAGTGAAAATTCCATCTCTAAGTAACAAAAGAAGGAAAAGTCACAATATGTTTGACAGCAGAACAGGAACCACAATACTGTAAGACACACGGAGACCTTTCTGTCCTCTTTTATTTGGTCTCAAAAAAGTTATCATGTGCAAAGCAGAAACATGGTTTCTCTCTCCTAAAAAACAGCATAGTATTTCCTTGTTCTCCATTTCCTTATTTTTAAGATGTATGAACTTACTTCTACAGTAAAAAATATTCAGATCTTGACTACAATTAAAGGACATTTAAATAAAACCCATGAGTGTATCAAGTGGAAAAAAATACAAAACAGCTGAAAGAATCATAATAAACACTGACAACCCAGGAGAAGAGGCTACATAACATACTGGGATGTTCTTCCTGTCTACGAGGTAAACTAACCTGAACAAATCCTGAGGTTCCTAGCTCAGGATTTTAAACTAAGGATGTAGACAAATTATCACAGTTACTGGTGTTATCATGAAACATCATTCTTGCTGCTCATTTATGCTCTGTGTAACTACTGCCCCAGAGAAAAGATGACTTATGACCTCCCCACCCAAAGCAATTCTCTCTTAACTTGTTTTCACAACTTCTCTTCTGTGCCCAAAACCTGTACAGCTGAATTGTTGGTATCAGTAACTCCATTTGATAAAAGGTTCACAATGCTTAAAACCTAAATTAAACCCCAAAGTGCCAACCTGGTGATGCATCTATCTGAGAGGAGATCATTCTAGGGGTGTTTCAATTGCCAAATAAAAGGGAAATTTTCTATCCCTTGCATATTAAAAAGATTACTTCAGACTGCAATGTTGTTCAGCTGTTGGAATGAAGAAACAGACATAAACAAAAAATTATGGATCGGCAAATATAGGACTTAGCACTGTTAGCTGGCTCAGAACATTTCTTTTCAGTATAATTCTTTATGCAGATCCTCCATAATTTTCATTTAGCAAAGTTCATACCTATTACTGTACAACTCTTTCAATACAAAGTGCTACGTGGGTGGTACATTTTATTATGATGTTACTGTTTGCTACTGTAAGCAATATTTAATGAGCACAGCACTATGATAATTTGTTGATGTTGCCTCAAATTAAATAATGAAACCAATTTTTGAAATACACATTTTTAACTGACAGGATGCAAACAACAGAAATGGTCATTTCGGCTGAAATGTTTTAAACGACTTTACATTCCAATTCACTTCATACATGGAACACAACTGAAATGGTCAACTTTTAGAAATTGTGTTTATGTCAATGCTAATATCAATAAACTTCATTGTAAATTCCTGCAAAGGATATACTCTAATGGAAAAGAAATTACTCACTTTACTAACTACTTCTGAAGTCTAAAAGTCTGATGAGTTTTAAAATGTTGGTCAATACTGTATGTGCAAAACTGCATTTAGAGTCTTCAAAGGACTCGAAGAGGCCAGACATCTCTTGTGCCATCTCTTCTACCTGCAAACATTAAAAGACATCAGGTCTGCGGTTTCTGTTAAGCCCGATGGTGACAGCTGCTGGGAAACTGTCACTCTTGTGCTTTCGAACAACTTGTCTGGATATGGGAAATTTGCAGAACTGGAAGCAATAGCTGGAAAGCATCCTGAATGTAAGTAGTACTGTTGCAACCCTAATGGGAAGAGAAAACATGGTTCATCAGTAGAGCTGTCACGCACTTCAGGAATCACATTTTAAATTACATTATTTTTTGTTTTCCATCAGCATCATACTACATTAGCATATGGATTCACACAAGATTTTAGACGCTGCAGATAACAAAAATGATAAACTACAACAATTTACAGCTAAAAAGGACAGCCTGAATCACTACATAAAAATCTGATTTCCCTCAGTGTGAACTCTTGGACAGTTTTGTTTGTAATGTAAGTAGAATAAAACGCCAGTGTTCAGAAGTAGATTTGATTTTTTAAATACAAACCAGTTAGTCTCTCCATCAACAGAACTAAGTTTGAATTTGCCGTAGGTGGAAGAAATATCAAAATTAAGTTTGAATTATTGTACTGGTTTTAACACACAGTGCTATTTTTGGCATTTCTACTACTGAACATAGCAGTTTAGAGGTTTGTATTTTCCCATGACCCTAGGCTGTACTAATATGTATTTGTATACAAATACAAGATATAAGAAGTACAAAACATCATATCCCACAATTCTGGACACTCCCAGATTTTGCAGTTCCTGAGGCATGGAAAAATATGTCAGCTGCAACAGCAAATTTACCCTGTAACAAGAAGAACCATATAGTAATCTTTGCAACAGCTCGATTCAACTTTCCATGTTTTTTTCTTAAAGGTACTGTTAATTCAATGCAAAATCGCTTATTGTAAAATAATCTTTTCCTCATTGTTAAGGGAACACAGCTATTAGATACAGAATGACAATCTGTAGTCACTGCTTCATGTTTATTTATGTTTGAAGTGCGCTCTAATTAGCAGAGTTAAAAGAATTTGTGCTGCATATAATATATGTTTTAGTACTTCATAAGCATATTACTCTCTCTTGACCTCTCAGTAAAACTGAGTCACATTTTACTCACTGTGCTTTTCTGATGTGTCTAATAGAAGAGGTCACTCATAGATCATGGCATCTAATAAACTAAATCACTCATGAACACTGTGGTGGTGTCTGACACATGGTAATCCCTGTGCTGACCAAAGCCTGCTCTGCTGCTAGATTGTGACTCTGTAGAAATCTAAATACCCGTGGATGGGAAGCACTGTAGCACACCTGCAATACAAATTTTAAACAAAAGAATAGCTTGAAACTATCTGTGAATCAGAAATACTTTGCAATACTTGAAGTAGGTTATAGAACAGTAAGAACACACTTATTCCAGGGAACTTGTGAATAGGTTAGAAAAGGGCTAAAGAGCACATCACAAAGTGTCTGCTGAGCTCTGACAGCAGCAGAATATCAGAGCTGGCCAGTCTCACTTCAGTCATACAGTTCTTTAGAATCCTCACTAAAATGATGATCCTAAATGAAATACCTCCAATATTACCACTATAGCATTTGTGGGAGAGGCTAAACACAAAATCAAGAGATGTATGAGCTAGCACTGAACAGCCATAATTATATTGTCATTACTGTTTATATAGTTCCTTCTTCAGATACAAATGTGACTGTTTCATTTCTAAATCCTTTTACTAGAACATTTCCCAACATGAAATAAGTGAAGGATTACCTCTAATAGCACACTGTTGATGATGGGGTTAAGAACCTCTGCCTTCACTCTGCTCTGGAAACCAGAAAATAGAATGAAATGCCAGGACATGAAATACATTTAACAGAAATATACTGATATCTGAGAAGTGGGTTTATGAATTCTATAAAGGTCTTGCTTCACTTTGATTCTTATTCATGCTGTTTATCATAGTATTCCTGATAACCACATCTACATTTCATACACAATTCAGGAGACCCTGAATATTTCTGTCACTGAGTACAATGAACTAAAACAGGCTGAGAGGTTTACTTTTTTATTAATTCATGGAGTTTGAAATTGCCTGGTTTCCTATGGATGTGAGATTTATGTGACATTATCTGTCCATGTGTCTGTCAGTGCCCTTTTCAACTCTCCCAAAATTTTTTAATTTTCAAGGAAACAAGAAGGAAAAATACAGGTCAGGAGGAAAATGAAGTTTTCGGGAGTTTCACAAATATCTGTGGTTAGGAGGAAATGAAAGGCCTAGAGCAGCTCCCTTACAGGAGGAACAGGTGGAACTCAGATCCCCAAATTGGAAGCAGTGTATGTTGAGCTGGACAATGCAGGCTGGACAGTAAACATAGCATTTTTCTCCACCACCAGATAGAAATAACAATGGGTACACAGAATCACAGAATGTCTGGGGCTGGAAGGGACCTCTGGAGATCGTCTAGTCCAACCCCCTGCTAAAGCAGATTACACAGGATCTCGTTCAGGAGGGATCTGAATATCTACAGAGGAGACTCTACAAGCTCTCTGGGCAGCCTGTTCCAGTGCTAATGGAAAAAGGTTTTCCTTATTTTCAGATGGAACTTCCTGTGTTTCAGATTGTGCCTGTTGCCCCTTATCCTGTCGCTGGGAACCATAGAATAGAGTCCGGCTCCATCCTCTTGACACCTGCCTGTAAGGTATGTACAATGCATGTAGAATGAGCAGTAACACTATTAGAGACTACAAAACCAGGATTCATCGACTTCTCAGCTTTTTAAAATGGCAAAAGTTTGTTCCTTTCTTTATTTCCACTGTTTGTTTTTTTTTAGAAAGACAGAAACCTCCAGCTCCAGCAAGATCTGCTTTCTTTCAATACCAAACAAGTTGGCTTTATTAGAGCAAAAGAAACAAAATACTAATTAATTTAACTGAAGGATTTCCTTACAACCTTGTAGGTTTCATATTACAGATTTAAAGAAACATGAAACACCTTAATTTTAGCTTGGAGAAAGATTGCAGAATCAAAGGGAAGACGGTTAGAGAAAAGAGCAATTCTACTGTCAATTATTAGAAAATCCATTATGAAGTGCACTGTTGATTGTCAATAAACTGAAACAGATAGAGAGCAATTAAATATTATTGATTCTATGAATCAATAAGTTGAAGTTTGAAAGAAGTGTAGCAAGGAAAGCTGTTATTTCTTACTTCTGCATTACTACTCACTCAGCAATTTTGCCAACATTATAGATTATGTGTACAACCGCCACTACAGCTACTGCCTCTATTACACAGCCATAAGGATGGCATTATGTTTGAAAAAAATAGCATTTCCCATTCTAAGCCATTTCTCAGTTTCCCACGAGTCACTGCACTTTGCAGGATACTGGAAAGTGTTTGCAAACCTGGGTGCTGTTGGCAGGCTAAGGAGGAAATCGAAACCCTGGGACATGCAGGAAGATGTGGGTTTTCTACAGTCCTACAGTGTGACAGGTGCTCTTTGCTTTCTTACTGATCCTGATGAGCAGAAGGCCCACATCTTCCTCCAAAAGCTTACAGGGATGGGACAGCACGTGAAGATCATAAGACTGCCCTTCTAAAAGTATCTTCTAGAGACTATTTTAGCAGTGGAAAATGTCTTTGTGCTCAATCTTTTTCGTGTCCACACAAATGTCCACAAAACCAATCTGGTCCTAAAACTGAAAATTCAGTACAGAGTTGACAAGAACAAACCCCAGTGCAATGCTAGCAAAAGCTTTAGGTTCCAATTTTCTGAGCTAGACCAGCTTAATATTTCATGAGCAATTTATTTTTATTTGTCTGTGCATGTACTTATTGCAACTGTCACACAAAGATATGCTAAAATACAATCCTAAAATGCAAAATAAGCAGTTTCTTCCAGAGTAATGGGAAGGCATGTAAATTATTCAGAATAAAAGCAACCCAATAAATCATATTCGCCACAAATAACTCAAAAAAAAATGCTCAGAGATGTGCTGGAAGAGTTTATGGGAGAACTGGGAACATTTCCTTTGATGTACTTTCACATTTTCATGGAGTAATCAGAAGAGCCAGAGTTTGTTTTTCTCTGATGTTTACAGAACAATTTCAGCAACAGCACAGTTTTTCCCTCTGGATCCTGCTAAAATAGTCAGATATCTGTCACTCATCTTTGAAACATCTTGAAAGGCAGGATACTATTTCTAGCAAAGCTGTTCACAGATAAATGGATGTTCCTAAATGAAGTATCTTGACATATAAGATGGAGTGGCTTGGTTTTGGTTTTGTTTTTTTTTAAGATAGGCAACCAAAGAGATTTTCTAATCTCTTAAACCATTTGAAAACAAGTGGCCCTAGTACAAGGGAATTAGCAAAGGCTAATGAAGCCATCTTAAGGTGCTGGAATCTGTTACTGACTTTTACACAAATGCATTCAAAAAGGATAGGCTGAGTAGGAAAACAAAATATCATCAAGCTGTGGGACTTCAAATGTGGGGCCCTTTCAGTACAAGAAAGTAAGAGTTTCTGAGTGGTAATAGGGAAAAATGAGAAAGTTTTTAGAAGGCAGGGGACACACTGCAGTCTATCGAGGCTTATAAACTCTCTGCAACTGGGAATTTGCTGTAAAAATGCTCTGTGTTCTTGATCTGAGGAAAGAAGTGTACAAACTGGAACACAAGAGGTTCCACTTAAACTTGGGAAGAAACTTCTTCTCAGTGAGGGTGACGGAACACTGGAATAGGCTGCCCAGGGAGGTTGTGGAGTCTCCTTCCCTGGAGACATTCAAAACCCGCCTGGACACATTCCTGTGTAACATTATCTAGGTGTTCCTGCTCCGGCAGGGGGATTGGACTAGATGATCTTTTGAGGTCCCTTCCAATCTCTAGCATACTGTGATACTGTGATACTGTGTGAAGTGCCCATTTTGCTGGACCTCAGGTAAAGCCACCAGACCCAGGTAACAATTTCTGTTTCAAGAAGTGAATTTTGCTTAAAAAAAGCCCAAATGCTACAAAAAATTGCTTTTATCTTACCCCAGCTGTTGTTACAGAATCAGAAAACTTCTTGGATAAAGATGAAACTTCATTGCACATGGCATTTGTTAAGCTGGTTTAAAAAAGAGAGACAAATATAAAAATACATCCTTGTCCAGTTAATGGATAAAACCCCTATGACTGTCCCAGGCACACGCTTCATCTTAGAAGCCAAGAATGTTAGGGCAATTTTGCTTCTAGTAAGTTTTTAAATATTTTGGGGTAGACTTTGTCATGATACAGTTTTTATATTCCTCCGCTGAAAAATCCATGGCTGACTACAGCAGCAAACTGATGTCATGTTGGCTCAAACACTGGTCTTTTTTGACAGGGCAATGTTTCCATTTGTTAAAGTCCAAACTTCTAGTTTAACTGCTGTTTTTCTGATGATTGCAGCAATACAACTCCTACAAATTCTACTGGAAATAAATCAAACTTCAATGAGAGCAGTGGGAAGTTTCCTATCTAAGCAATATAATACCTACTCTAAATGTACTAAAAAGGAAGTACCCTTGTGGTTAAAATATCAACAAACAAAGAGATCTAGTTCTATTCCTAGACCTTTCACTGTTTTGTTAAACAATCACAAATGCATCACCTAGAACCTCATCCTGCAAAGTGCACCATACCTTAGCTCTAATTTGGAAAAATACTTGCTCAAGTACGTTGTTTTAGACTGAAGTGTTTCTTATGGCCTTTGCTATTGTTACTAGCATTCCTGAGGATAAACACTTAAATAATTTACTTACTTAAAGTAAATTATTAAACTCAAGTGCTTACCACACCTTGATGTCAAAACCCACTGAAATCAGTAGAATTGATTACTACAGAGAGCTTGAGATCTGAATTTTGAGTCCCACTAGATAAACCAGCTTCTTCGATTTACGTATGTTTTGTCATGGTTTACTGCAAAGTTGCTGACAAATGTGGTCTTGATTAGAGCTGCAGACTGACTTTTCTGTATTTTTTTGGCAGATAAACTGTAGATAATGAAACTCTATTGGCAAATAAGATGACTGCATTGTACACTATAAAAGCAAGCTGTATGCATAGGAAATGCAACCCAAATTAGCACATACTTTTACTTGCTGGAGCAGAAACGACTTTCAGACTGTGAACAAGACATGTTTTTGTAAACATACATATGTTGCCCATGTCAGAAAATGACAGCCTACATAACTTGATTACATGAGAAAATGTACCACCAGGATCCCTAAAGCCAGTGCTGTCTGTTGATCCATGAACTTAGTGTGCCCCAGGTGCCAAAAACTGACCAGACCTTCATGAGTTTTAAGCAAATGTTTGTATTACTCACTTTGTCAGTACTTTTGCTTGATCTTGAGCTGTTTTTTCCACTTCCTGCCCATGCAGAATTAATTCTGCTACTTTATGAAGCTGTTCAATGCAACGAGCAGTTACCTCGGCCAGACTTTCAATGGACAGCATGTAGATTTCCTTAAATTAAAACCAGGAAATAATATAATCAGTAATAACAACACTGATAATTATATGTATAGATATATATATATATAGGAAAGAAACTGAAACATTGAAGCCCTCCCTGCCCCAATTGGAAATGCTGCCACAAACACAGTGAAGTAATATCAGCTATAATGTCATCCTCACAAACAATACTGGAAAATTAAATATCCACACATTATAAAACACAGACCTTATCCTCATCCTGAAAAACTAATAAGAACAAGTCTACCATTTATTTGTATGGAAACTAGGTCAGGCTCTCAGATTTTCTAACATAGCACTTTTAAACTTAGTCTTAACAAATACAAAGAACCCTTAAGTTTAGAATAATTCATAATTAATTTCATCTGGAGTGAAAAGTACTGAGTCATCCCTCATATCACTCTCCAGAGTAGAAATGGATAATATTCCCAGTAAGAAAGTGGCTTTATCGTCAATGATGAAAATTCTACCCAGCAGTATGGCACTACACCTTTCACAAGATGATGCCAGCTGGAAATTTGCAATCACATAAAAATCAGTAATATATACAGTGTAACTCTGCCTCCTTCTTTGGGCCTTTTTTGTAAGAAAACATAAGAGATAATTTCTTTATTAGAATAATTAAAAAAAATCTTGACAAAGATACCAACCACATTTAATATTGCTGTAATTTGGTGTAAAATATTCAGTCAAAATCAATCTTATCAACAAGAGGGATTACCTAAACGGACACAATGCTTTTAGCCTTAAGAGGAATATTTCTGGTTTGTCTGTTTGTTATTTAAACTGCTCAAGAGTTTAAATAGTTAGAGAACCTCTTCCATGTACTGTCACTGGGACAAAGAGATGACAAAGAAAGCAATATGCTATCATCGTTATGCCACAGAATCTCTCAGCTTGCTGTGCTGTATGTTGTGCATACACATGCATACACACAAAAGCACAGATATGAAAAAATAAAACCAATGCATTAAGCAGAGGACCTGCTACTTTGATATTTTCTTATATGAACAGACTAACAGTAAAAATACTAATGTAAGTTAATTTTCTATTGGGTTTACAGTGAGTAGTTATATGTTAATATTTCTTAATACTTCCATGAGTTTAAAAAATAAGGACAATGCATAACACTGACACACAAACATAAAAAAATAATCTTATCAAAATATAACAATTTACTTAATGAAACTTATCCTCTAAAAGCTAATTACCTCCACAGTTTTGTTTTTATTTATTTCTGGTTTATCACTGTCAGTTTTTTCTTCTTTTTCAGCGCTTTCTTCACCAGGTTCTCCAGGTTTTGCTTTTACCTTCTCTTCTATGTCTACTGGTGTGGAAAAAGTGGCTTCTTCTAGCCACTCATGAGCTTTTTTCCTAGCCTGCCAAACAAAGAACCCAACCCCAAAGTTCAGTTCAAATATGGAATATCAAATTATGGTCCTGAACATTAATTTACAATATATTTAATACTTCCTTTTTACATTCAGAAGTTTAAACATATTAAGCCTCTGTGTGGAATTCAGTTAAGTGTATATTTAAGAAATTGTGGGGGGAAGCATTTCTGACTGTTTAAAGATGGATCAGTCAGGGATAAGTCCTCTACAGGTATGATACTCCTAACCAGCACATAGAGCTGGCATTAAAAACAAAGTTACTAATATTTCAGCTTTAGGAGGCATCTTTCAAAGGAATTTACATAAGAATAATTTTCCAAAATAATGAAAATAAGAAGGTGGTATAAAAAAAGAAGAAAAAAAATACTGGAGAGGTAAGAGAGATGTACTAAATTCTTAAAGGAAAAAGAAATAGAAAACCGCTGTATCTTCAGCTGCCTTGCCAGGCATGAAAGTAGATCAAAGTGGAAAAGCCTTGAAGTTCTACACAACTTCAGGCTACTGTTAAGGTTAGTAGGATATTTATGATGTCTCTTTTTTAACATGAAGTTAAATTAAAATATGTTATGCCTTAAGCCTAAGCTAGTTATCCAAAGTCTATATATGCAGCTAGAGAGATAAAGATTCATTTGAGCCTAAGATAAGCAGGTGAATCACCTTTAAAGGGGCCTGATAGTACAAATGTGACTAGAGATGTGACTAGCTTCTAGCTGTCTAACTTTTAGATGATTGAAGCTAGATGGGATAAAGCCAAGACTTTGCTTATGGCTAAGAAAGTCTGGAGAAGTCCCTCAGAAGAATAAACATGATGAGCAAGAAAAATAATTCTGAACCTGACCTTTGTTCCCAGTATGTAAGACCAAATCTGCTGTGCTCATGAATTCTGTTCTGCTGAGACATCCCTAGGTCAAGGCTTTCTAACAGGGCCCATTGTGCTAGCTAGTCACTGTGGCTGTATCGCCTTACTAATCTCTCTTCTCCTCTGAAAGCTTTTCTGTATTCATCATTTTAGTCCCACCCTCCTGTACTTTTCTTTCTGAACTGTCTGCACTGAGCTAGGTACTGCTCTGTGTCAGATTTGAGAACAAAGCCTTCTCTCTTTGTTGAAGAAACAGAGGGCAGCTCACTTAACAGGTGCTAACCTTATTGAGTTTGTCAGGAGTAGCAGCAACATGCAATTCAAAGAGCAGTTCAGTGAGCATGCTGACAAACTCTTCTCCCGTATCTGCTGCAAGAAAAAACAAGACAATTTCTGTTAGGGTGTTATCACTATAATATTTTACACGATCAAATACATCAAGTCAAATAGTTTCCCCAGGTACTCTGGTACCTGAAAAACATTGACTGTGGTGAAAGAAAGGGACGTGTGGGTGTGTGTGCGCGTATGCTTAAACAAAGAAGAGAATAAGCAAGAGAGATACCTGCAAAACCTGATATGCTAGCCTGGCTCTTCCACTACTCTTTCTACCCCATTCTAAATTCCACTAAGTTTCACAAAAACAGGTAAGAAGAGAAGAAGCTGTATGATCCCTAGTTATCTGACAGCACATGACCCACAAAGTAACTGAAGATATTAACCTATTCTTTCAAACCAAGGAATAAAAACTGCAGCAGAGCCAGACACAAGTAAGTTTCAGAGGAAATACTGGAAGACACTTTCTCTATTGCTCTGTCTGCAAACCACACCTAGAGATGTCTTTTCTTTCTATTTTAAGATTGAGGTTTGCTTCAATGAAGAATGTTTTCTCTTCTGCTTTGGAGTAATGAGCCTTAAAGTATCTGCACTTTTATTTCATAAGATTTTTGAGCAAAGATAAATATCATTAGTATTTGAATTTCATCATTATTATATGATGAAATTTTGAATTTGAATTTCATCATTATTTGAATTTCATCATTATTATATATATCCCTTTGACTACTTACAGTTGCCACATTTTAACACACTCGAAGTTACTAAAAGTTGGGAATTTAGTTGGTTCTGTTCACCTGTAGTTACTGAGTTTGGATTCTTAATTAACATTTCCTGAAGGAATATATAAAATCCATTTTTTTAGCCTGATGACACTAAAAGGTCAAAGTCCCCATACTGAGGCTGGTAAAAGTCTAGCTATTTCAAAAATTAATTTCATGTCTTGCCGTATTCTGACTATTTTTGTTTATTTATTAGGTAGGGCCAGTTTTTCCAACTGGTATGCAAATTTGATTTGATTTATGCAAATCATCAGTACTGGGCTTAAAAGCAGAAGGCCATTACTCTCCAGGGAGTTTAGGGATTTTGGTAGAACTGTCTACAATTCACAATACCTTGCAACACGTGGAAAGGTAGCGGAATCTGATGCTCAGACTATACTCAGAACAAAGGACATCTCACCCTTACCTGTAAAAAGAGTGCCTATAGAACCACAAAATGGTTAGGGTTGGAAAGGCCCTTAAGATCATCTAGTTCCAACCCTCCTGCCATGGACAGAGACATATTTGGTGACAGAAAATAAATTAGTATTTAGCATGAAGAACTGCTCACCTGCAATGACCAAGAGACTGAGCTTTCCTCTTAACAACAGGGGAACCGGCCAAGAAGATTGTATTCTGGCAGGCCAAAGAGAAGCACAGAGTTCGTTTCATTGCTGCCCTTATCAGTAACTTTTGGCAACATGATTTTTCAGGTTTTGCAACACAGCACCTCTTGGATACATTGAATTCACTTGTTCTTAAAGCAATGCCAAATCATTTTATAAACTGCAGCATGATGAAAACTGGTAAGAAGTTCACTAGATCAATGTAAACTTACCCAAATTTTTGATAACTGGCATATTCAATTTAATACTCACTTGGGTTCCTATCTCCCTTAGCCTCAGATATGAAATATTTGGTGTGTAGGAAAAACTACTTTTTCAGATATTCTCCTCTCATTATTTCATAAACAACTGAAAGGAAAAGACACTGCAGTGAAAAATATGTGGAAGGGTTGCATAATCAAAGAGGAAACATTAGGGAGAAGGGTATGCATTTGGCTTTCTCCTACTTGTGTCAGAAAATGTCTTTTCCTTTCCGTCTTTTCATATTGATTTAGTACCTGTCTGGCTGTTAAGCAAAGATGCAAAAAGAAAAAACCCTCAGAATTCCAGTTTCAAGGTTGCTAAGAACAAGCTCGAGAGAGGACGCCTTCAACACCGGAGCGGGGGGGTGATCAGCGTCCAGGAGCCTCAACTCAGCGACAGGAGCCACCGAGGGAGCCTCAAGTCCTCGACAGGACCTGCCCAGGAGCCGGCAGCTCAACTGACAGAGCGAGCAGCTGACTCACACGGGGGGAAGTCTGAAGCAGTGGCACCAACCCTGACTGGTTAAAAACCTGCCCCAGGGAGCGCAAGCGACCAGGAGCGTGGCAAGGCAGTTTGCGCAGGCAGGCGGGCGGGATGGTGAGCACTCGTCGTATGATCAGGGCCCTGTCCGGGAGCTCTGCTCTGGCTGCCCCGGCGGTGGCCAGCGTAGGCACCCAGACAGAGCCGATGAGAGGGGAGGCTGCAGTGCAGAGCTCGGGGTGTAGAGAGTGCCTGCACTGGTCTGGTGAGGGCAGAGTGCACAATGGGCAGGGCTGCACTCGGTGCTCCCTGGTGGAGGTCCTCCTGCAGAGCTGCGGGATGCTGTTAATAGACTGCGAGATGTCAGGGAAGCTGAGAGGATGCAGGAATGCTTGCTCCTGGCCCAAACTGTGCAGGGGCCTCGAGCTTCACCTCTACCTCATGAAGGAAAGAAGGAGGCTGTTAACCTGGGAAGCTGGGAATTAGTGACAAAAAAAAAACCAAAAAAAGAAGGAAAAGGACAACCAAAAGCAAGGGGCTTCCCCCTAAATCCCCTGTCCCCACACAGAACCTCTTTGCTGTCCTGCAGGGGGCTAATGAGGAAATGCACTCGAGCCAGAAACAGCCGGCTGATGCCCTGGGAAAGAAGATCTCTACTGGTGCTGCTAGGAAAAAGCGACGGGTCGTAGTAGTAGGGGACTCTACACTGAAAGGGACAGAAGCACTGGTCTGCCGGCCAGACCCTGTCTCAAGGGAGGTGTGTTGCATACCGGCGGCACGGATCAGGGATGTGGCAGAGAAGCTGCCTGCTCTAGTAAGTCCCACGGACTATTACCCACTTCTAGTGATCCATGTGGGTGCTAGGGATATAGATAGTAGTAGCCTGGGGAACATAAAGAAGGACTACAGAGCCCTGGGGGAGGTGGTTAGGGTCTCTGGAGCTCAGATAGTCTTTTCGTCAATTCTCCAGGATACAGGGGAGTACCTTAAAAAAGCTAGGAGGAAAGGCCAGGTTAATAACTGGTTAAAAGGGTGGTGTCATAGTCAGGGGTTTGGGTGTCTTGAACATGGGACCCAAGCTTGTAGGCCAGGTCTAGTGGGGGCTGGTGGAGCTGGTCTGATAAGGGAAAGAGCAGTTTTGGTAGGAGGCTTGCCAGACTGGTCAAGGAGGCTTTAAACTAGATGTGCTGGGGGAGGGGGGCATCATTCAATTCCAACACACCCAGTCAGTTGCCAGAACCTATAATAAATGCTTGGAGCAATGTAGAGATAACCCAGCCGCTCCAGCCAATGAGCCGGCTTCAGTTGGAGCTCGGCTCAGATGCCTCTGTACAAATGCCTGTAGCATGGGGAACAAACAAGAGGAATTAGAGATGTGTGCATGTCTACGGGGGTATGATATAACAGGCATCACAGAAACATGGTGGGATGGCTCCTATGACTGGAGTGTTGGAATGGAAGGTTACAGGCTCTTTAGAAAAGACAGGCCTGGCAGGCGGGGAGGGGGAGTTGCTCTTTATGTTAGGGATAGGCTGGAGAGTATGGAACTCTGTCTGGGGACAGGTGAGCAGTCCACAGAGAGTTTGTGGGTCAGGGTTAAAGGGAATATAGCTATGGGAGACATTACTGTGGGGATCTGTTACAGACCGCCTGATCAAGGAGAACCTGCAGATGAAGCACTCTATAGACAGATAGGAAAAGCCTCACGCTCACAGCCCCTTGTTCTCATGGGTGACTTCAACCACCCTGACATCTGTTGGAAGGACGGTATGGCCCGGCACAAGCAATCCAGGAGGTTCCTCGATTGTGTGGAAGACAACTTCCTTCTGCAAGTAATAGAGGAGCGGACAAGGAGAGGTGCCATGCTTGACTCATGAACAGGGAAGGGCTGGTTGGAAATGTGACGCTCCAGGGCAGCCTTGGATGCAATGATCATGAGATGCTCGAATTTGAGATCCTCAGGAGAGCGAGAAGAGCGTGCAGCAAGCTCACTACCCTGGATTTCTGTCTTTAAACAGACTTTCTTATCCTATGGAGAATATAAAATATTCTGACAGAAAATGAAATAATGGCAAGGTTTCTATCACAGCTGTATGATTAAGTATAAATCCCAAATGAACTGAAAATAGATGTAAAATCCATACTCTCCTACTGAAGTTGTTTCTACAGCAAAACATGTTTGTTCTTCTTTTTTTTTTTAATACCGAATAGTTTTGGTGATGGACAAAATGGAAACTGCTTAGGAAGGTTCCGTGGGATACAGCCCTAGAGGGCAGAGGGGCCCAAGACTGTTGGTTGATATTCAAGGATCACCTGCTGCAAGCTCAGGAGTGTTGCATCCCAACCAGAAGGAAGTGCAGCAGGAGGGCCAGGAGACCTCCTTGGATGGATAAGGAGCTCCTGAGGAAAATTCAAATGAAAAAAGAGGCTTATAATAAGTGGAAGCAAGGACAGATGGCATGGGAAGAGTACAGGGATGTTGTCTGGGAAGCTAGGGACCAGGTTAGGAAAGCTAAGGCCCAGTTAGAATTAAACTTGGCTAGAGGTATTAAAGATAACAGGAAGGGATTCTACAGGTACATAGCAACTAAAAAACAGACTAGGGAGAATGTAGGCCCCTTCAGGAAGCTCTCAGGAGAACTGGCTACACAGGATTTGGAGAAGGCTGAGGTTCTGAATGACTTCTTTGCCTCGGTTTTCACTGGCAAAGGCTCTGACTGCACCACCCAAGTCTTGGAAGGCAGACGCAGGGACTGTGAGAATGAAGACCTTGCGCCCACTGTAGGAGAGGAGCTGGTTCAAGACCATCTTAAAAATCTGATCTGAATGTGCACAAGTCTGTGGGTCCTGATGAAATCCATCCGCAGGTCCTGAAGGAGCTGGCAAATGAAGTTGCAAATCTGCTGGCCATCATATTTGTGAAATCATGGCAGTCAGGTGAAGTTCCCGATGACTGGAAAAAGGGAAATATAACCCCCATTTTCAAGAAGGGGAAAATGGATGACCCAGGGAATTACAGACCAGTCAGTCTCACCTCTGTGCCTGGCAAAATCTTGGAGCAGATTCTCCTGGAAGGCATGCTAAGGCACATGAAAATCAAGAAGGTGCTTGGTGACAGCCAGCATGGCTTCCCTAAGGGGAAATCCTGCCTGACCAATTTGGTGGCCTTCTAGGATGGGGCTACAGAACTGATGGACAGGGGTAGAGCAGTTGATGTCATCTACCTGGACTTGTGTAAAGCATTCGACACTGTCCCACACGACATCCTTGTCTCTAAACTGGAGAGACATCAATTTGATGGATGGAGCACTCGGTGGATAAAGAACTGGCTGGATGGCTGCATGCAAAGAGTTGTGGTCAATGGCTCAATGTCCGGCTGGAGACCAGTAACGAGTGGTGTCCCTCAGGGATCGGTGTTGGGACCGGTCTTGTTCAACATCTTTGTCGGTGACATGGACAGTGGGATTGAGTGTGCCTTCAGCAAGTTTGCTGATGACACCAAGCTGTGTGGTTCGGTTGATACGCTGGAGGGAAGGAATGCCATCCAGAGGGACCTTGACACACTTGTGAGGTGGGCTGATGCCAACCTTATGAAGTTTAACCATAACAAGTGCAAGGTCCTACACCTGGATCAGAGCAATCCCAGGCACAGCTACAGGTTGGGCAGAGAAGAGATTCAGAGCAGCCCTGCGGAGAAGGACTTGAGGGTGTTGGTTGATGAGAAAATGAACATGGGGCTGGCAGTGTGCGCTCGCAGTCCAGAAAGCCAACTGTATCCTGGGCTGCATCAAAAGGAGCGTGACCAGCAGGTCAAAGGAGGTGATCCTGCCCCGCTACTCTGTTCTTGTGAGACCTCACCTGGAGTATTGTGTGCAGTTCTGGTGTCCTCAACATAAACAGGACATGGAACTGTTGGAACAAGTCCAGAGGAGGGCCACGAGGACGATCAGGGGACTGGAGCACCTCCCATATGAAGACAGGCTGAGAAAGTTGGGGCTGTTCAGCCTGGAGAAGAGAAGGCTGCATGGAGACCTCCTAGCAGCCTTCCAGTATCTGAAGGGGGCCTATAGGGATGCTGGAGAGGGACTCTTCATTAGAGACTGTAGTGATAGGACAAGGGGTAACGGGTTAAAACTTAAACAGGGGAAGTTTAGATTGGATATAAGGTGGAAATTCTTTCCTGTTACGGTGGTGAGGCACTTACGGGTTGCCCAGGGAGGCTGTGAATGCTCCATCCCTGGCAGTGCTCAAGACCAGGTTGGATGAAGCCTTGGGTGATACGATTTAGCGTAAGGTGTCCCTGCCCATGGCAGGGGGGTTGGAACTAGATGATCTTAAGGTCCTTTCCAACCCTAATTATTCTATGATTCTATGATTCTAAGTCCTTTTCGCAAAAAATCTCCTCTGAAGATTGCTGCAGTTATTTCTCGTTCTGCAGGACTGAAAGAGTTTAGAGTTGCAACTAAAAGCAGCACTACCATCTCTGAATGAGATTCTGAGAGTCTAGGGTACCCTTTCCAAACACGGGAATGCAAAAGTACTGGTCTTCCTCCCAACTGTATAGCACTGGCAATTGACACCACACAAATACCATTACTTGGGTGATGAGAAAGTGGTAATAAATTAGCAGTAAGTGGTAATTAGCTTGTTTTCAAATACTGCTCAGTGGCTAAATAAGATCTAACATTTTCAAATACCGTTAGTTAATCTCTATCTTTTCTAACTTTTCTGAAGGCTAGAGAAACCACACCTCACCATCTTGCAAAATGTAGGTTTTAAGGGCAAAGGACCCCTGAGAAGATCAAGAAGACGTGGAAGAGATATCTTTTTGCTTCTGAAACGCAGCAACATAGTGTTCAATGGCATAAGCCAGTCCTCAATCAGATTAAAGGGGTTGTTTCTATCAACTAGAAGAGGTTTGGTATGGATCTCACAGGCCTATAGACGTGAACTATGGTGACTTTAACTTTTTATCCTTCTGTTCTGGGGAATGCCAACATTCCTGACCTGTTTAAGACACCTATTTTGCTCCTAACCAATTTTATTGTAACCTTTGTAAGCTGATCTACAGACAGTCATGCCGGTCCTGTTCCCTTCAATGCTGTGTACTAGGTCATAGTTACAGCATGCTTCTGTTGTCTTAACTTCTTTTTCTTTTTCACACTCCACACCCCATGTCTTGCCAAACAATACCTAGAAAGCAGCGTTGCTGCTATGTTTCAAAGTGACTTCCCCTCAAAAAGTTCATGATTATTAAGTCTCTTTATTACACTCTAAATTTTTCCCTGTCTAGCAAGGGAGGGTGCAAAGTGAAGATGCTAAACAGAAAAGCATTGCTAAAGACTTCAAAACTTTCAGATTACACAATTTCATAAACAGATTCTGTAAGAAAAACTCAGTTATCCAAAAGATTATTATTTTCCCTTATTTTTGTTTTGCTTTCACTGACAACAAAGCAAAATAATATAACACTTCCTGATGTTATATTTTCTACATCTCACAGTTCAATTACCATAGAAATTCAAAATGAAGCATTGATTAGCTTCCAGAACTTCTGGTATATTAATTTTAGTGACTACCTTATGAAGAGTATTAGATATCAGAAATTATATTTTGGATTGTAGCATTTTAGATTACTGTATACAGAAGTAACAATTATCCATGTGGTTAAGTCTCTGTATTTCTAATTACCTTTCTGTGCCTGCACCGCTTCATCATCTGATTCCTTTGGAACAAAGATCTCTTTTATAGCAATTAAATCAGTTTTCACAGTCTCCAACTGCTCTCCATCAAGTGTTGCTAAATATGACTGAATCTGTAAATGAAAGGACATTTGGAAGAAAAAGTAAGCATTCCCCAACAAAACAGAGCATTTCTTAAGTGATAATTTGGAGCCTGATACCAAAACAGGCTAGGAAACAGAAACTTCCACTATGCTCAAACCTTCCACTGTAGACACATTTTTAGTTCTCATCAACAAGATTTGTTGAGTATCACAAAAACTACACCAGCCTTGCAAGATCATCAGGTCTCTACATTCTCACAGAACATTAGTTTTGAACTATAAATCTATGGTGTAACTGCAAACTGCAATAAGCACTTGGGGATTGCTTGGATGAAGACAGCAAGCAAAAACAGCACAGACAGAGTTCATGGTTAGCCTGAGCAGTCACAGGAAGAGCTGGAAAAAGAAAACTGTCTTGCCTCCTTCAAAATGCAACCAAAATTATTGACAGTCTACCAGTTCTGAAGAACGTATTGACAGGTCTTTGCATGTCTCAGGGACCTGCAAGTTCCTGCATATCTAATAGGTATGCATGCCTAAGAGGGATGGAAAGAGATTCTTTGAATCGCTGTATGTTTGCACTACAGTTACATGGTGTTAATCCCATGATCACAGTCTCTGCCGAGGGAAGCCAACAGAAATGCCTTCTCCCCTTTGATACAGAATGTTACTTTTGGGTTTGTTTCAAGGGTTGTTTTTTTTTAGACCTTGCTTAACAGATGCGCAGACTGGCTCAGGAGAGAGATTGGAGGAAGCTATTTTCTTACATTAACTTCTTACTGCCCCTTCATGTGTCCAGCTCATATGCTCAGGGTTAAATGCAAGGTAAAGCTGGAAGACCTGATTCAGACTGTGAAGGACTTTTTGGCCCCTCCCTATAACATCACCCATTTTATAGGGTTCATTGGGAACTTTTTTTAATGGAAACTTTTCAAATAAAAGCTTAAAAATATTTTTAAATCCCTGCTATTAGAAACACATAGGACATTAGCAGTGCCTTCAGTCCCTTGCACTCCTCCTGTGGCTTTTGGGCTGTCAGTATAGGTCTCACGCTTACAGTACTGTATTTTGTGCATGTGTGCATGATTTTTGGAATATTTATCAGGGAATTGGACTTGTGTAGTAGGTCTGCAATTCCTGCTTGACACAAAAACCAAATGACTTCAACATCTGAAAACATCTACATAATGTCACAAGCTGACAAATACACACTAAATATGATCCTAACAAAAATAACTTTAAGTTAGGAAGCTGTTTGAGTTAATCTTGGCGTTAAACTTTAGATGTATTTAGACTGATTTCCTGAAGCCAAGGACTGGCCTGTGGGACCAATCCAACTTTCTTTGAAGTTGATGGAAAACTTACTGCTTATTTCACATGCAGCTGCAGAGTAAAACTAATGTGAAGATCTGTTTTTTCCCAACCATTTTGATTTATGCTGTCTGCATACTGTACCTGAGCTTCACTGTCATTTGACAGGATTTCCAGAGCTTCAAGATGAGACAAACCTTGAAATTCATCAAAGAGTAGTCCATAATGGGCTGTTCTTTCAACTGTAACTTGCTGGGCCCTCCTCTGTTTCTCCTTTTCTTTAGCTTCGCGCAACAGCTGCAAAAATACACATAATTTCTGTTGCTTTATGGGTAGTGCTGTAGGTATGACAGGTTTTATTTCTGGTTCTGCACGTCTAAAGTAATAAAATTTGGGACTACATCACACATGCAGAGGTGAAATTTTAGAGCTGAAATATCTAACTTCTTTTTTGATTAACTTCTCTAATAAAATATTTCTAAATGTGGTTTTCCCAGTGGTAATTGCTAATCATCAAATAATCTTGCTTATGTCCTCAAAAGCAATATCAGCTACAAATACGAATACCTACTTGCATAAATAATGCACCTACAAAAATACTTCCTATAAAATATTTTTAGCTGATACTAAAGTCAGTTTTATGTGACAGCAGGACTAACAAAAGAGATTGGCCTAGGAAGGGATGACTTTTACCAAAGGGGGATGTTTTAGAGTGGTCTTCTTATACACTGCTATTAGTGTATAGGAAGGATAGACTACTGTACAGAAGAGGATCTCCTATTCCTTCTAGTCCCAGTAAGAAATGGCCTCTTGTACGAATTTGCTACAGTAAAGCTGGTAAATACATCTGAACTGCATCTTAAATCACATGTAGGCCTCTGAATGCAGGTAAACTCTTTCCACTTACACTAGTCCACAATCCAGAATTTCTAAGATATTGTCTTCAGTTATCAATTTGTTACAAAAGATGTATGATGGCAGATTTTTCACTCTCCACCTTCAAAAGATCACTCACAAAGTTTTATGTACAAATCACTCAGAAGGAAGCACTGTGTTATGCTACCCATGAGAACTGATTCATGTCACTTTCTGCCTCAGATTTTATGTGTGAATTAATACACATTGTTTAGGAAGGCATCCTTAAAAGCTCATTTTAACCCTGTAGGCCTTAACAGGAGTTAACTTGCTTTTGGCCTGCTACAATAGTATTAGTCTGTCCACACTCAGAATGATAAACACTAAAGATGAAACATCTCATTAAAAGAAAAATATCTTACTCCTCCCTACAAGGAAGTAAACATGTAGTAAAATTACAGGTTTTTTCAATGTCTATTGATTTCCACAGCCTCTCTCCTCTCAGTGTCTGGAGAACTAAAATAATTTTGTACTGACAGCACTTATGCTTCTATTCTGTTTTTATCATGTCCTTCATCTTTCAAACATATGAGTCACACCTGTGTAAGGGTACTATTAGTTTAGATGAACATTAAGATATAACTTCACAGCTTTAATTCATAACGAAACATATGTCATATTCCAGTATTACTCATTTCCAAGGACAGTACTATACCGATTTTTATGCTGGAAGATCTCTCTCTAGAGCTGATACAAAAACATGAACAATTTGTTTCTGTCTCCAGAGAGTAATGATTTATCACCACACATACTATCTTATTAAAATCTGCTATTGCACATGTTATTATGCAGAAAAGACGATTTTACATTATCTGTTGTGATTTTGTGAAGAAAACTAAAGTGAAGCAAATATAAAGCACAATATTTATTTCCATAAGCTTAGCCAGTATCTACTGCAATAAATAAAGCCTCTCCCTGAGGCATCTAAAATTACGGAAGAAGAATTGACAGAGCTGCATTTAAATAAATCCAACCTGAGAAAGAGAAACTGTTCTTGCCATCAGTGTTTTGGTTCTCTTAAATCCAGGATCGCTTTCTGCAAGGACATTCATGGTTGTCTTCCCAATGAATTCCAAAGCATCTAAGCCTCCAGATAAAACACTTTTCCCCTGTACAAAATAACACAATATGGTTATTTTCTTTCCACTTTATGCTAATATGAACTGTAAGAGTATTGTTTTTGCCAACACTGTTTTTGAACATTCAGGTCCATAGATTTTCTATGTTTTAACTAGTAGATACTAGAGTGATGAGGCACTCAGAGTGAAGTGGATATGCACTAATAAAGGAATTGCACTTTGTAAAACATGCTCAATAGGGAGTTAGTCTTCTATGCTTTTTTAGCCAATGCTTAAAGTCTCTTAAAATTTCAAGGGAAACACCATATGGGAAAGATCAGAGGAAAACATTTGCTGTGATAATGTGTGCAAAAACACTGGGGAAGAAAATGACACAAAAATTGATTTGGAAACAGTATGGTACAAGATTTTGCAAAAGCTGCAACACAGAAAATCAGAAAAGGATGAAGTGCAACACACAGAAAAAGTATGGAGAGTGTAAAAGGGAAGAACCATGGACGAAAGATTTTGCCTCACTGAGTCTGCAATCAGACCACCTTCGGTGAAGACTAATATGAATCAAGACACTAGAGAAAGAGGTGAAGGTAAGGGCCAGGGACTAACAGTAGAGTTTAGTAAAAGCCTTAATATAAGCAAATAGAGTATTTTCGTATTTGATCTGCCTTCAGAAATGATAACAAATCTCCTGGTAACTCTCTGGAAAGACTTAACTGTAAAAGAAAACCAGATGATGATACCACAACTACAAAAATAATATATAAAGGACTAGAAAAATCTGACATAGTTTAGGAGAAGACCATATTTTTCACTGAGACTTCTTCTGTACTTTCAGTAGTTTCTACTTTGGTGACAAAGTAGTAACTTAATTGTTCTGAATGTTTTTTTTTATTATTATTTGATTCTGTTATTTTGCCATGGAAGAGACTCTAAACAGACTTACAACACAACTGCTTTTACAAAGACCTACAACTTAACCAATGTGATCTACAGTGAAGTTGCACCTAAAAATGATGCAGAATAACTAGAACAGAGAGGCCAGCTAAAATGACTCACTGTGTTCTGAACAGCATTAGTGATAGCTGACAACATGCCACGAGATCCAGACGAAGGAGAAGAAGGAATATTCTCAGAAAAGCTTTGGTCCAGAGTATCTTCTGCTTCTAACAAAAGGAAAAGAGCAAGCATACAGCATACTTTCAACTCTACAAGTCATAAATTACAGTAAACTAGATCCTGTGGTCAAAACACTAAAATTCTGTAAATTGCACTAATTTGGCAATGTCAAAGAGTTTTGTCAAAATTCAGTGAACTTGAACTTACGTGTAATTGGCATTTCAGCTGCAGGAGACTCTGCTGTTTCTGAAGATGCTGAACTTGTATTATGAATTCCTAGGGTAGATCCTGCTTTTTCCTTTACTGCTGTTATCCCATGACCTGCAGCAAAAGCATATTTTAGATTATATTATTTGAAAATGTTTTACTAACAGTGCCTAGTATTTTTATACCCCATGAATGATGACAATCAGAGTAACTATTAAACTTACCCCATTACTTAATTTTTTAATAGGTTAATAATTCACTTGTTCTTCTGACTAGAAATGATAAAGCTGAAATATCCTACAGATGACACTTGATCTGAAATGCAAAACTTGTTTCAGTGACACATGTAAGTTTAGTTCTCTGCTTTTCAAAATGCTAAATATTCTACTGCAAGCAGTTTAAACAGAAATTGTTGGTCCTCCTAATGACATAGTTTTGGCCTAATTTAGTTTTCAGAACTCTGGAACAATTAAGCTACAATTAATGGTCTGTGGATGACTGCAGGGCTGAGGTAAGGAATCTTCAGTTTGCTGCAGAGGTGTTATGTTAGTTGTTTTCAGAATACTGACCCAGGTCCTCAAAGTTATTTCAGGATTTAAGCTCCTCAGTTGCTCACTTGAAGTCAAGTTCCAAAGTATCTCACCTCAAAGCTGCTACTTTAATATACTTCGTAAACTGCTGGTGTCAGATGACAGATAGAATTATTGTTCCAGTGGCAGCTGATCTCCCACAGAGATTTTACCTGACCCTTACCTAACATAGCGACTCCCTAAGTCTCTGTTCTATTAAAATGGTCTAGTTTAATGTACAGAATATATATTATTAGGGTTTCTATCTGAATATATCTGAATAGTTTTGATAGAACAGGATTGCTTTGCTGCTTGTCTATACAGAGTTAATTTACACTAGCAGATCCCCCAGACTGGTAGTATTCCACTATAGGATAGGATGGATTGCCTGTAGCCAGCAGTTGCAAAAGGAGGCAATAACTTCCTAACCTGCATCAGATGTAGTTGAAAAATGCTGCCCTTAAAGAAAGACTACCCTCAAATTGCCTCTGGGTATGTCTACAAGTATGTTCCTGATATGCTTCTCCCATTACAAATGATCCAGCTAGTACAACTTCCTTAGTTGTAAGTTTCTGCACATCAGCTGAGATGCAAGAAGTAAACAACCAACCAAGTGAGCAAAATTTCTTTCCAACACAAAATGAAATGGCTTCAGCTACCCTGTGTGATTCTTTCTTGCTCAGTACACTATTACTGCATCACACATAAAGCTTATCACTTCTAGCAGCAGGGCAGTAACTATCTGCCTAAATACTTGTAAGAAGTATTAATGACAATTTCATACTTCTTTGCTTTGTTACCTTCAGCTGAATTGTTAATAGAGAAATGATTTCAGAAAAGACATTAAGGCAGATGCTTATGCAGATACCTGGACATCTAAGGCACAAAGTCAAGCACAGCAATTAATTAAATGTTGTCCATACTTTCCCATAATTGGGGGCACTTTCTGTTAGGAAAGTTCAAAGCATTTTTCTGAGTTATATTAACTACAGCAAAATAAGCTATCATTTGCCAGTGCTCTGCAGTGTTCTAATAAACATACACATAAACATACAAATATGCTTTTGAACATCTGATCAAAGAAAAATGCAGCAAAACGATTTGAAATGGAGTAGGAGGAAGGAAAGCTCAGGTTTATGATTATATGATTTCCAGATGGATTGCACATCAGGTGATCTGTGAATTCAGTATTAAATATACTCTAGAAAACATATGTGAAGCAACACTACTGAAATATCACATACAAGAAAACTGGGGTATCTGGAGGTAAATACAAAAACCAAAGAAGATGTCCCCTAAGGAACACACAAGCAGAAACAAGTAATTTTCTGTACAGCAGAAATGGGGTCCTGATGTTTTACAGTGAAACAGAAAGACTAGGCAGGTGAATACTTTTACCTGTTTAAAGAAAATATGACCTTTGTCTACATATCTCATGTCTGACAAAATGTAGCAGTCTGTTCAATTGTACAGGACATACCAGGTCATGTACCACAGGGATTTAACTCTTTGCTGGATAACTTCTGGCCTTTTGCAAAATATGTTCCAATGCAGATACTGGAGAGCAGAGTACTACTTTATCTAATCCCAATCTTCTGCACATTTTAATTGGTTAAAGAAAAATATTAGTATGAATAGATTGAGCCATTTATTTACTCTACATATTCTTGAGACTCAAATAATTATTAATTGTGCTTTTAAACTCATGTAATAGATGCTCCATACCACATTCCTTTCCATTTCTCTTGCTCACAACTTTTTAAATGAGCAAAAAAGTTCTATTCTTTCCATTGACTTAATTTTTCTTGAGGTCTTGACCTGCTAATAAAATACTATTGTCCTGTAATTATACAGAAAAAATAACTATGAACATTAAGCATAAATTTGTTTTTAACTGTGTATGAAAGTTATGGATTTTCAGATTAATTTCCCTTTTTTTTTCCTGTACCTAAAAATGTTTTATTTTTTTTTAATATTCTGTAATTTGGTTCTCATAGTTCTGCAGACAATCTCATACTTTCAAGAAAAGGAGGCACACAGCTGCTGTATTGATATTTACAGACTTACAATAGGTAGCATTTTCAGGGCTGTGGTTACATGCACTAGAATCATAATGATAATGATAAGAAAATACCTCAGGTCAACTAGGACTAGTTTTGCTGGAGTAAGCCGGATGGCACATATGTTTGATAACAACAACAAAACTGGATGAGATCAGAAGACCACAACTGAAGCATATCAGCAGTGTTAGATACACGTACATGCACAAACACAGCAGAAGCTCATGTTGCTTTAGAAATTAAAATTATTATTTGTAATTTTAAAAGGCACAGAAATAAAAGAGATTATGGGAGATGAGGCTACATTTTAGAGAAGAAAGCGCACTGGTTTTGTTACACTGGGTGACACAACAGAGCTGATATTGTAGATTTAGGAACACCTCCAACACCTCCATTTACTCATTAGTGGCAGCAGGGACAGAAGAGCTATGCAGTGGATATTACCTGCATACTTTTTGAAGAAAGCATGCCTTTTTCCCTGTGTTGCTGCTTTTTCTTGCCTACATGATTTCTTTTCCTTCTATTGGCTGGTGATTTCAGCAGAATGATGTTGTTCACCTTGCTGGTTGGAATCTTTCACTTGAAAGGGAAGGTTTTACAAGCAGTGCCTAAACATGTGGCCTGCCTTTGAGTTTGCCTGATCTGCCCAAGGCCAGATTACAGCACTCACAAATGCTTTAGTCAGATACATCCTACTTTAGGCTCTTTTATCTTCCACCTTCCAGCTTAGTAGCTTTGGATTCCCTGCAGAGCTGAAAGAGGCCAACAGACACCTTGGAGGCAGTTCCGCATGTCTGAAATCTAAACCATTCTCGGAAGGAATTGCTGTCCCTTGTCAATCCAGTACTCCCAGGCTATTGGACGCCCTGCTTCTATGGTAGAGATGGAGAAGAAGACTTTGAGATTTTGTCCCTGGCTACCACACAGTCTTCACAAGCTGTCTTGCACCACAAGGGCACTTCTGATGAGCAAGTGATCAAACTTCAGTCAAGTAATATGAATGAAGCTTCAGCTGGTTTGAGCTAAAGATGAAGATTGAGGCCTTAAATTAGCATCTGACACTGAGAAACCGATGAACGTGAAAGATGGCTGGAGGGGGGAGTCACTCCACCATATGAAGCATACATACGTGGAAAAGCCAGCTGTGTTCTAGTTTTGTACACTAAAAAGTGGGACACCATTATGCTCACTTTGAGGCTACCCTATTGGTAGTATTGGAGTATTCACTCCAAGGCTTTGCTTTAGAAAAATTCTTTTCCTTGTAGTTAAAACAAAACCAAAGACTAGATTCTGATTATTCATATGTTATCCAGTCTGTAAATCAGGAGTAACTCCAATTCAGCTAGTAAACAAGACTAGTTTCAGATCTCCTTAATGCAGTGGTAAACGTTTTAATAATAGCAATAGACTATTGTATATAATTGTACTATTGCTACAAGTATACATGCTGTTTTAAAAAATGGAAGTGACAAGCTTCAAGTACAGAGTGAGAATACATTATTCCTCACTTTTTTTATCACCTGGGGATAAAAGGTTTGCTGTTAAAGCTAAGATGACCTAATGGCTTCTTGGTGCTGGTGCTTGGTGCTGTTCCTCCCATTTTCCATTTTTATCCCTTCTGCTTGCCCTGGCACTTATCTAGTGAGTTATTTCAATGAACTGAAGAGGCAGAAAATGGATTTTTCTTTCCTCTAGAGTTATTCTTATGTCAGTTTAGCTTCCTGACTGGATTACCAGGAGCTCAGAGAAGCACGAATGATGGCACAGGAAAGAGGAAGAAATATGCCAGGAAAAGAAGTGCAGGACTGCACATTTCAGTGGCTGCTACCCATTAGATTGGCTTAGCTGTAATGGTAACCCACTGTTAGAGCAGAGTTTTATCAACACTCTTACTAAAAGACTGGATGGTGTAATTGCCGATTTACTAAAAGATTCAGTTTAAAAGAAAAAGAGTAAAATGGTAATGGTAAGTACAAGAACTTGTGTCTCCAGATCGTAGTGACGCTGTTTCTCCCGTCTCATCATCCCAGCAACTATTTCAGTGGATCTACTCTACTGTGGTTCCACAAGGAGGGAAACCAGACTTCTTGTACCTTTTAAAAACAAAAGAAAACTTCACCTCATTAATGAGACAGATTCAATAACTTTCTTAGTGTGACATCTAGTGTTAGACACTAAGCATGGTTCAGGCAGTGACTACCACTAATTCAAAGGCATTACAGATTCTGTTGTGTAGGGGAGTATCACATCTGCCTTGTGGCTGGGACCTTGATCCAAGTAATGTCAAAATCAGTTCAAAGACAACAAATCTTTTCTTTAGAATCCAAAACCATCTCCAGAACAATCATTGGCTGTATGTGCAGTTAGCTAAAGAGAAATAAGATACAAATTATACGGAAACTAACTTATTATTAGAAACTAAAATCAGCTATGCTAAACAAAGTACAGCCATGCAGTAAAAATGCTAATCTTTTTGGGAACAATAAATCAGGCTTTGAAGAATAATGAAATGACATAATGACACCTTCCATTAAAGCAACCTGGTCTAGTGAGAGGTGTCCCTGCCCATAGCAGGGGGGCTGTAACTACATGAGCTTAAGGTCCTTTCCAATCCAAACCATTCCGTGATGATTCTATGAAACCAAAATCCTTTAAACAACCATTTCAGGCCAGTCCTAAACAGAAAGGAATGTAAGAAAGAAATTTTTTACAGTAAGAATGATCACTGGAACAACCTCCCCAGAAACATGGTAGATTTGCCACTGCTGGATGTTTTCAAGATGTGACTGGACAAGATGCTAGATAATCTCATCTAGGCACCCTTTCCCACAAAAGCCTGGACTAGATGATCATAGAATCAGAACGGTCAGAGTTAGAAAGGACCTTAAGACCATTTAGTTCCAGCCCCCTGCCATGGGCAGGGACACCTCACACTAAACCACGTCACCCAAGGCTCTGTCCAACCTGGCCTTGAACACTGCCAGGGATGGAGCACTCACAACTTCCCTGGGCAACCCATGCCAGTGCCTCACCACCCTTACAGTAAAGAACTTCCTCCTTATATCCAATCTAAACTTCCCCTGTTTAAGTTTTAACCTGTTACCCCTTGTCAATCAAGTCAATGATCTTTCAAGGTCCCTTCCAACCTAGGCTGTTCTATGATACTATTTATTAGAAGCTGAATGTATTTGCTTAGGCCTTTAAGATGTTATCTAGTCTACCTCAAACTGTTTCTGCTATTTTGACAAGAGTACAATTTTGAAGAAAAATATAAGGAACAGTAAGTATTTGTCATACTTAACCAGGCAAGCAGCTCTGTTGTACAAAGATAATAACAGAGCAACAGAAAAATCACATACTGAAGGTGTTGCTGATAAGCCTAATTCCAAGAAAGCAGCTTTATTTATGTCATTTATTACACTGACAACATTTTAAGCAACATTAAAATGGACTGGATTGTAGCAAACTTATTTTCTGAAGAAGAATAGGAGATGAAGTGTTGTTTGAACTGCTCAGATATTAAATAGAATAACTTGAATGGGAAAAATAAATATTTAATAATAAGAAGAAAGCTTATAGAAATTCAAAATAGCTTTTTTTTTTCCCTCTCTCTGTCTCTCACTAGGAATTATCATACTGAAGCAGATACATGGTATATGCCATTCCACATCCTGTCTATGACAGTGACAGACAGATACTTCACAGGATCAAGCATGAATTTCCATAACAAGCAACGAGGAAATAAGCCCTCTATATCAGGAATATAAACTATTACCTGCTGCATTGATTTTCTGCAACAAATCTGAGATTATCTATGTGGTCTCTCAAGTTACCTTGGAACAGGGAATAATGTACATTTGATTTCTGCTTAATTCGAAGTCTATTTCATTTAATAAACTGACAGAGAAAACATAGATCCAAAATTATTAGATAGTAATATCTGAACTCAACCCTACCCTGATCCCAGGATCAGAAAGTTTAGGTTGTAGATTCCAGGAAATGGGAACAGAAAACTGAGTAAGTGCTGCTTCACATACATCTGAGTTTAGGCTCTTTCCCAGTTGCTCTTGGCCACTGGCAGAAGCTAGATAACACATGGGGTCTTCAGTGTGACACAGTGCAACCATTCTCATGTAAAATCAAAACGATTTTTAAATTTTCTTTCTCCTTTTCTGCATGTTTCAGATGCTGCTTTGCCAAGGCAACCTGACCTGTTCCAACTGTGCTCATTGAATAATTCTAAATATATATATACAATATATATATTCAAAATAGTCACCATTGCATGACCTTATCAAGTCAGGCTGCCTAGACAACAAACTTTTTCACATATTTGCACTCTGTGAAGATGGTTATGACGCAAATACAGTCAGATGGTATGTTAACATTTGTCTCCCAAAGCTCTTCCAACACCATTTATTGTTTTCAGGCAAGCTCAGGTCATTTGGGCAAAAAAATATCTATGGCCATACTGTCCACAGAAAACGTATGCACTATGTGACATTAAACTTATTGCTCAGTGAGGCCGAGACTTCAAAGCAACAGAAGACTGTAACGCAGATTGCTGCTGCAAGCCTGCAAGCATAGTTACTGTTTCGTAACAAATAATCTTATTACTCACAAACAATATTAGAATGGCCATTTGATGAAATACTATTTATTGCAAAAGCTAAACAGAATATAAATATGGCTATCTCACAGGCAGAAACTGAATGACCTGAAAAAGCTCTGTTCTGAGTAAACTACTGCTGCAACTATAAAAATAAACTGAATAATTCATCAGCATTACAATTCCAACTGCTCAACAGTAAAATTACTTTTATGCATATAAATTTTCTTCTTTAGTTATTTCCGCTAAGCCAGATTCTTTTCAGAATGCTGTTATTAGATAGTCTGAGGATGCAAGAGAGGCAAGGCTCGTGGATATCTGTGAAAGCAGTACCTTTTATTAGACCTACTGATAGTGCTAGAAAAAAGGTGGGTAAAATTTTCAACACAAGGATCCTTCTTCACATTTGAAAGAGAAGTGCTAGCTTTAAGGTTAAATACAAGTTGAGAACACTCATGCAGTTCCACAGCTAGCTAAGTTGTCCTTGTCCCCATCGGCATGCTCTCCGTGTTCCTATCATTCCCCATTCAGTAGCATTTGGGTCACCAAATGGTAAACCAGATGAGGGAATTTACAACTGATCCAGCTGAAGATCCAGCTCTTACTTCATCTGTACTTTTCAAAAATCAGTCTCATAAACCAGCTCCCCACATCACTACATGAACACTACTGTTCGCATACGAGAAGGAAGAAATACATTGCTGGGGCAAGACAGGCCTGCTCCTTTCAGCAGTAACCATCACTTATGCCAATTTAAAGACATCTTAGAAGCTCATTCTGCATTTAGATACATTCATCTGTTGGATTGTCTGAAAGAAAAGATAGCTAGGAACTCTTGAGTGTGAGCATTACTGAAAAAAAACACAAGAGAGGGGAAGCTCCCTCCTTCTCCCAGAAAGACAGAGGAATAATTTATTGCCCATGGAACAGAGGAGAATAAGGAGAATTATTTACCCTTATATGGGATTATAAAAACAGTATCTCTGTTGAATCTGTCACTTTTAGTAATTAGCAATTCATTTTAATTACTAGCTTCATCTTTTAAAAGTGTTTTGTGGATCCTTTATGAGAACTGGTTAGTTAACAGCTTAGTAGCTTTTTTGTAAGGAATGATTTCCCACTGGTAACTAGGTATTTGCATGCTTCACTTTTTGTCTGTGAGTTTCAATGTGTAATGATCAAGTTCTATCAAAAGTCTTTGCAAGGACATACTAAACAGACATACTATTGGAAATGACAGTATAGGGAGAGGGAGTATAGGGTCCATGTTTCAGCACATTGTTCTGCTCTCTGAAGTCTGGTATGATGGCTTAACAGTTTCACTGGGTGTCACTGAAAGCTGGAATGATTTATGAGAGGCAAATTCATATTGTAGAGATAGAAGTCATGGTGTATAAACCACTAACAGCTACATGCTTGAATCTGACTTAGAGTGCTTTGTTTCAAAAACTATAAGCCTTTGGCTGATAGTAACTGCATCAATTTATGTGTCCTTTCTGTGAAGAAGCTACAGTGAGGTCATCCACTAACTTTACAAACAACCCTAGTAACTTTTCCATAATCTGACACCAAGAAATATTTATGCTGTTGACAGTTTAGGAAGGTCCTTCTTCCCACTGAAAAAAAATAAAAAATAAAAAATGAAATGACGCTTGCCAAGCATATCAGGACAAAACTGTCTATGAATCTTGAAAATACAACAGTAATGTGTCTAACAACATATTAAGATTATAATTTATTTCCATGAACTTTACTGATTGAACACTTACCCACTGTGGCAGAAGCTGATGACAGGAGAGACTTTCCCCAGGTACCCCAAGCTCCCCATCTACTTGCTTTAGATGAAGAGTCTGTGGCCTATAAGAACAGAAATATTACTCCACTGTCTAAAGCTCATGTTTCCCAAAGACAGGAGAAAACACAAATAACCTGTCAGGTAACAAAGTCCAGCATCTAATAAGTGATGATAGATTGGGTATTATGTGGAGTTCAAGCTTCTGTGCACAAGAAAGCAGAATAGGAAGCTTAGCTCACATAACCTGTTCTTAAAAGCACCTAAAACACCAGAGATGTCTTTACAGACATCTTACTATTTCGTCAGGTACCTGATTCTATAAAGCCATATAAGTTTATTAGAGCTAGTATTAGGGAGAAGCAGGAACCCATCTCCTTCCTTGAGTTCTACCAGCAGCTAGAGTTAAAGGCTTCTCTGCCTGAGTCTCCTCAGAGGGGTAAGACAGTAGATGTGCACCTGGAACTCCCAACAACTGAGTTCCTGCCCATGTTTTACATTAATGTGTGGCATTAAGTGGTTACCAGTATTCCATATTTAAATCATATTAAGAAACTGTTGTTTCAAAAAAGTCTCCAGTAATGTATTATCCCTACACAACCAATTCAAAACCAAAAGCTGAAGTATGCCAAGGTAGCTCTGCATGGTGCAGCATACAGCATCCACCAGTGATCTCCCCCTATGAAAGGGGGATCATTGGTGGAAGGGCTAAAAGTTGTCCAGTTTGTGGATTCCTGAAAAATTTTCAGTGGAGACGAGAATATCTTCAGCTATGTCACAGGCATTGGATTTGGATGCTGTATAGACCGTAAAAAAGCCTTGGTTTTGTTTTTTGTTTGTTTGTTTGTTTTCTTTTATTTCATTATTAGAATTTGGGGGGGGGGGTATTTCTTTTATTTAATTTTTATTTCTTTTATTTATTATTAAGCAGTTACTCATAGGGCTCCTGAAGATCTGTGGACCATAGATCAAAACCTACTGGCCTAGAACAAATCAAAAACCACTGGCCATTTCACCAAGCCTTGTAAATCATACACGGTTTTCGTAAAGTCAGTGACTTGAAAATTAGCACACACAAGATTCAGTGCTTCACATGCAGCTTAAATTCTGTCCTCTTCTAGGTTCATTCTCTGAACTGAATGAAGTAGATTTGTACAGAAAACCACATAACAAAATCATGGTAGTATTATTTCTATACAAAATCAGTTATATTCTTGGTATAGTTTTATTGCAAACAAGCAAGAAAGACCAAATTAATATCATTCTGGCAAAGAGAAATTCAACTATTCATAATTTCCATGCAGGTTTTTTGTATGTAACTCCTTAGGCTTTTGCGAAAAACAGTATGCGCACTGTACAACATTCTGTCCTTACAAAGCTGGGAGGGGAGTGCTTTTATGGAAGAAAAAGGCATTACTTACTGGACTGCTTTGTTCATTCAGTGTTTCTTCAGATTCAGGTTCTGCATCAAGGCTCACGGTATCACTGCATTCAGCTGGCACGTCTTCAGTTGCCTCTTCATTGGAAGGCAGACTTTCATTTAATTTTTCAGTCAAAGGGTTTTCATTAATAAATATTTCTCCTTCCTGTCTATTACTGGCACTCTGAGCAGCCTGTCCACGTTCATCTTGTGAAGACTCATGCAAGATCTCAGCTTCCACAAGGTGTGGTACTGACTCATGAGGCAACACCTCCTTGCTGGGCATTTCCATTACTTCAGGTTTTTCTTCAGCTGGGATGCCATCACATATGTCTTCAGACATTTTCAATTCTGAATACAGAAAATAAATTACATCTTTTAGGCTCCACAAACATTTGAATGACTATAAAATATGCAGCATTTACAAGCTATTGCTGAAAAAAACCCCACTGTTACAAGCTATTGCTGAGAAAACCCTGTGGCACATACAGCACTATTCATCTTGCAGGATCTCACTCAAATATGAAGAGCAGCATCACTGTTCTCCAAAATACACTTTGGTGAAGGAGAAAGGATGCTCATTTATCTGGAGGAGTCAAAGGTAAGAGCTTCCACATGGTTAATTCCTATGTTCTCTGTTAGATGTTACCTATTACCTGTGAAAGGCCACTGGTGAACAGGATAATCTGAACTGCAATAGCCAAGAACCTCTTGCTCTCCTTGTCATCATTTCCACATAAACATGCTCCTATAGCCTACTAACTGATGGAGAGGAGGATGACAAACACAGTGGTGATACTTATGTGTTGGAGAAAGGGCATAATTTGAGAACATGACAGGCCGTCGTCCCTGCAGCCATTTTGCAGATAGGAAGCATTCGTTGCTTACACTGTTTCGACATCGCCTGTCTCAAAGGCTTACTGTTTGGGGAGTGCAATGCTTCTCACCTGCTCCTAAAGTTCCATCTGTGTGATTAAACTTCAGTTTTGAATCCAAGGTAAGCTTGCACGAGGTACAGTTATTGATTTTTATTTTTTTCGGGTACGTTACAAATCAGTTTTCTCTTATTTACTCCTTATCTTCCAATGTAACTTATTTTTTCTAAGTATTTTCCACCACTGTGCAGGCAGCAGCCTGAGGATTCAGGAAAGGGAAAAAAATGGCCATTGAGCAGCTGATTAAGGAGTGGCACTGATAGAATCCAAAAGGGTTACTCTACAGTGATTACTAACACTTACTTGTTGGCATCAACAGCATGCCTGCCACTGTGAGGACAGCCCTTGACAAAGAGTTGTTACTGCTAGCTCTTGCCTATATGCTGAGTTGCACAGCATAGAATAAACTCACACAACACTCTCTGTAGGTGTTGTCTTTTCATGGACTCCCAGATTAAATATGGTTCAAAGCTTCGTACTTTTAGGAAGGCCTGAGGGTCTAAGAGAAACCGAGGAACAGGAAAAAAGAAAGGTAAAAAGCAACGTATGACTGGGATTTAAGAGAAATCTGCCCTTAGCTGTATTTTATTAGTCTATAGAATCATGTACATCTGTGGCTTTAGCAGCCTGTTTGTCTAGCTGATGTAGATCATCTGTTTGAACAGGTCCAAGAATAGCACTTAGGATCAGTGAACAACAAACATAAAAAAACAAACAGGCACTTAGTACCACTCATATTACTTTAGCTTACACTGTAACTTAATTACCTTTAGAAAACACCAATTTACAAGACAGAACCTTTGCATCTGCCACAAGTATTTGCAGTTTTCCATTACAAATATAGCAAATACCATAAAATGCTTTAGCGTGGGTAAATATGGCCATTGTTTTAACAGTACTCACTGTGTGATGGGCAACATCACCTAAAGAAAGGTTTTGTGTTTGTAAAACAAATTTCACCGTCAGATAAGAGAATCCTTTTCCGAAACTTGTAGCATCAGTACACACGTGCATCACAATTTTTACAGGGATTGGATCGGAATAAAACAATGCCCAGCACTAGTACAACTTTTAAAAGATCACATACACCGTGCAGGACTGAGTCATCTTTGGGGAGCCACTCAGGCCAAGGGTCCTGCAGCTGTCTGCTAAACCTTCCTTATGGGAGCAAAGCGCCTAACAGCAAACTCCCGCATCTGTCAGGAAACACGCGCCGTGCCTGGCCCGGGAGTAAGGCGCCACTCAAGATGTCATCCGTGAGGCTATTCTGATCTAAACCAACCCGGACAACTCCTTACCAAGGGGAATGACTCTACAGATAGCTCATGAGGGAGATGCCGAGGCCAGCTCCGGAGCGGGCTCCAGGCGAGCACCCCGCCCGCAGCCGCCTTGCAGCGGCACCTGCCGACCCGCCGCCCGAGGAGCTCAATTCCGCTTCGGAACAAGACCCGGACCCAACGGGCGCCGGCAGGCGCGACTCAACGCCTCCGTGAGGAACACCTTTCCCTGGCTGTTAGCTCCGCGCTCCCCTGCCGCTCGACGCCCGCCGCCACTTCTCCTCCTGTGGGACGCTGCGGGAGCGCCGCTGAGGCGATGCCCCTAGGTCGCCCTCCCACCGCGCCTAGGGCAGAGCAGGAGCAGCCGCTCCCTCAACCCGCAGCGGCCACGGCTTCCCCTTTCCTATTGTTTAACTTCTCCTTTCGAGATCCCCTCTGGGGCAGTTACTAGTGAGGAGCCCGCAGCCAGTTTCAAAAGCGGCAGGAAAAGAAGAAACCGCCGTGCTCCTTACCGCTCAGCAGTGCCCGGCCGGCGCACCCCAGGCTCCTTTCCCTTCCCCGCCCCGCCACGTCGGCAGCAGCGGGAGGAGGAGGCAGAGCAGGCCGGGCAGCCGGCTGGGCCGCGGGGAGGAGTGGAGAGGGCGGGCTGTCTACTTCGGCTTGTTTCTCTCCCCGAGACGGCCGCCTGTTGCGAAGGGGTTGTACCCTGCCGCTGCCCGGCCGCCTACCAGGCTCCGGGCTGCTGGCCGGGGTGGCAGCACTGACCGGCCGCCCTTATTGCCCCCCCCCCCCCGGCTCCCTGTGGGACACGGGCGTCACGCTGCTGGGGGTCACGGGCCCGCGGTGGGGACCCGCCGGAAGCGGCGGGCGCGGGGGAAGCAGGGCTGAGTCCTCTGAGAAGCGAAAAGGGGTGGGCGCTGGTGTGGTAACGTTCGCACTGAGGCGTTTTAAGTATTAATGAGTCACGGAGCTGGCGTTTTCTGTGCTAGAAAGTTTAGTACTTCCTCGAAGCGAGCGGCAGTTAACCACCTACTGAAGCGCGGGGTTGAGTTAAACAACTGAGGTTTAGCTTTTAAAATGCCACTTTGCACCTTCGTTATATCTGTGTTCACAGGAATTGCGGCTGAAAGAAAGCGGGAGGTGTGTACGCATGTTGCCAGTAAGTTAGTGTTAGCACTGGGTGCCCACAGCCATGCGAGAAAGACGTGGTTAAACAAGGATTGCAGGCTCTTGCCCAACAACCTGTGCTTCTTGCCTCGAATTACCCATACCCGTTACTCCTTTTGCTGCATTTCAAGGCAAAGCATGCCCTTTGTGACAAAGGCAGTTCCACCATTCATCATAGCATCCTTTCTGTCACTCGTCTTCCTTGGCTGAAGAAATACTGTTCCTACAGGAAGCAAAATAATACATGTTGTGAATCCTTGAGGAGAGCTGAAATGGGAGGGCACAAAATAAAGACCCAGTTGTCAGAAGCGAGCTTCACAAATACGGATCATGCTACGTGACTTACACACTTATCAGGCAACTCTCTGAAGTTTCCCATGAAGGTATGTGGTAGTATGGTGTTTGTATCACTAAGTAATAAGTTTATTTGGAAAGTGTTTCAATAAGAATTTAAGTATCTGGGAATGCTGGTGGTTCTAGGTTAATTTATTAATGTTTAGATGTGTTTACTGAAAATGCAATCTAGAGTGGCCCTGAGGATTTCCCTCTGCTTTTTAGTGGAGCTTCTGGAAGAGTAAGGGTAGTTAGTGTCTGAGTAGGAATCACGATAGATAAAGCTCAATAGCTGGAGATTGTTTTTACCCATGATGAACAGTAATTTTTACTGTAAGTTAGGTCATATACTGCCAGTTTTGCAGATTCTGTTCAAGGCCATGCATGTTTTAGACCTGCAAGACAGTATTAATCACTATTGTAATCTAAAGTTATTTCTTCATAGTGAAATTAACATTGTTAAGTGTGTAAATATGTAGTCTGTTGGGGCAGAAGGATGTATTTGTTTCCTAAGTCTCTAAATTGCTTTCTTGAATTTAGCACTTTTATTTTCTAATTTTCTTTCACTTTTCAGTAACTAATTTTGCTTGTATTTGCTCACTATGATAGTATTGCAAGTGGTTTTGAAATAAATGAGCAATAGGGATTGAACGCTTTGACACATCTCAGATTTCCCTGAAGTTTGTTATTTACTGTGTCATCATCAGCCTAATGGGTTTCAGAAAAGATACTTGCCTTTAAATAAATAGATAAAGGAAACATGGAAGGAAACAACTATATTTGGCTACTTTTAACAAAATGAAGTATGCATAAACATGTGAGGAATATATTACATTTTCTTCCAGTGATTGCACTGCTAAAATCTAAGTGCAATTAATGGTAATATGCTTATTTTGCTTTTTAACATATGTTTCTCTATCGCATATAGGCAGACCTGGAGAACTTTATGCCAGTGACCAGCTCGTACTGCCACTTAATTGAAGAGATCCTCTTGAATAAGAGTCTCTAATTTACTGCGGTTACTGAATGTTAAGAAAATGTATGCCTGGTTCTGTGTTCATTAGAGTATAGGTAGGTTATATTCAGGCAGTTAGACTGTTGCATTCCAAAACAGGAATCAATGTTGGGAGGAAGAAAGCTTTTATCTTTCGATTTTATCTCATCTTAGGGATGGATAGCAAAATCTTTATAGCTAAGAGCAGACAATGGTGAGGTTTGTATACACCAACATTCTAAGTTGTCATTTGGAAACCAGCTGTGAATACACTTCTCTGTAGACAGAAATGGAGAAAGAATCATAGAATCATGGAGTACCACTAAAAGGCTCATTGGCATAACAGCAGAGAGTGTCAGTTGTCCGTATCAGTTGTCCTGGAGCACCTCCTGTATGAAAACAGGCTGAGAAAGTTGGGGCTGCTCAGCCTGGAGAAGAGAAGGCTGCATGGAGACCTCATAGCAGCCTTCCAGTATCTGAAGGGGGCCTATAGGGATGCTGGGGATGGACTCTTCATTAGGGACTGTAGTGACAGGACAAGGGGTAATGGGTTCAGACTTAAACAGGGGAAGTTTAGATTGGATATAAGGAAGAAGTTCTTTCCTGTCTGGGTGGTGAGGCACTGGAATGGGTTGCCCAGGGAAGTTGTGAATGCTCCATCCCTGGTGGTGTTCAAGACCGGGTTGGATGAAGCCTTGGGTGACATTGTTTAGTGTGAGGTGTCCCTGCCCATGGCAGGGGGTTTGGAACTAGATGATCTTAAGGTCCTTTCCAACTCTAACTATTCTGTGATTCTATTCTATGATTCTGTATTCTGTTGCTTACTACGCATCCCATCTTTCCCTTCTGATTTTTGGATAACCTCTTTTCCCTTGAATCTGAGAAATGAAATATGATATACAGAATAAGCTTTAAAGTGAAAAAGTAATTTTAAGACTATTTCTGTTGCTTCCTTAGACATTCAAACCTTAAACAATGAACAGGTTATGGTATGCAAACCCAGAAAGGTAGTGAAAAAGTAATTTTAAGACTATTTCTGTTGCTTCCTTAGACATTCAAATCTTAAACAATGAACAGGTTATGGTATGCAAACCCAGAAAGGTAGGTTGTAGTGTGGCAGTTCTCTATTTAGATTTCAGCTAAGATGGAATTTCTGACTGATATTATACAGAAACAGAGAGATACTGGTTTATGTCTTTGCCAGGACACTAACTCAAGTGTTTGGGCATTCAGTTCTGAAGTTGCTGCTCTGTTTTAATGAAAAAAAGAAAAAGAGGACCCCACCCATTGTTTCTGTGTCCATTATTTTACCCAATCACAACACTGCTGGAGCAGGACAGTGATAGTATTTTTCTTTTGCAATTAAATGGAAATTAAAATAAGATAAACAGTACGTTTATAAACCAGCCTTGATAACTACTTGACAACTAACTTGGTATAGCTAAATGAGAAAAAATAATCAGAATAATGCATATAGACTTAGATCGTTATTAATTTCAGAGAGGAAAATGTATCAATTCCAGTGTAAAACTTGCTCAAAAGAAGTACTTACTTTCATATGAATTTGATGAAGACAGAAAGTTGATAAAAAAATTATTTTTCTTTTTTACTCTGCTTATTCTATTGCAAAGCACGAAAACACATCATTCAATAATAATTAAATAACAGGGAAATTACAGTAATGTTATATGTGGAAAATACATCTGGAGGAAAGCAAGTGCTATTTCATCAGCTGTCAGTAGACGGCGCAAATATTTATATAAAAAGTTTGGGCGTTTCTAGGTATTGTCACACAGTAGGATATAGTTACAGGAAGTTTTGGTTTTGTCTTTTCCCGAGTGCATTTTCAGCTTTTTTGAAAGCGGGGATTTCTGGTGAGAAGCTCTTCATTTTGCTGATTATAATCAGTTGCTAGTTAGCTAAGACTGATTTATATTCTGCATCTTATTTGTAAATGAGCCATGTTTTCCATAGAGGGTTATTAGGCAATGTATGATATACTTGCAAATATGTGGGTAAGAAGTGAGAGTAAAGTTGCTTATGTTCAGTAAATTTATCCAAAGAAGCTGGCCAAATAGCAGCTCTTTGTATTAGCACTGCATCCACAGTTAAGGGAGTCAGGGTAATTTAATGGAAATAGAATTTTTACAGTTCAGGAATGGGTCTAACTCGATGATATGTTTCATTTATGTGGAAGACGTATTTTTAGCATTTGGGGTTTGTATTATACCGATAACTTGTGAATACCTTAATATTGGACCCTCAATATATTCTGTACAGTTCTTAAGTGGAAGTTTAGTCAGTTTAATTTGAGTTTATACTGGAAAAGCTTTTAAAACCTAAATTTTGATATATTTTCTTGCTCTTTATACAATAGGACAACTTCTTGTTATGATCTTGCTTTGCCTATATTTTGATAATGCTCTTGCTTTTTGTCAAGTTTGGAGACTTGGCAATACTTCTGAATTAAAAGGGGTATCACTATAAAGGATGATTTCTCCAGTGTTAGACCCCAAGTCAGGGGTCATGTGTTGTAACAGTTGCTAATTTTGTTATTTCATAGGATAATCTAAATAAAGGTTGAAGGTACTCGTAAATAATTTGATTGAATGCCAGGAGAAAGAAAATTAAGCACATTTGGAAGAATCATATCCTTCTTCCATCTAGTCCCTGGATATTGCTGTAATTTTCTTCTAAGAAGAAACAATGATTGGAAGGTAGATTTTTTGTTTTCTTTTTTCCGATTTCTTTTGAAGCTACATATTTTGTTCAATTACATACACATTAGTAGTAAGAAGAACAGGATAGAGGATGCTAATTATCTTTTGTTCTCTGTACATGCCTAAATGTCTTTTGAGTGCTATGATGGTAAACCAGGGGATAATCTTTACAAATGAAAATCTGGAAAAAGGGTGGAAAGGTTTTGCCATATTGCTGCACCATTTCCAAGTGATTTCCAAGCCTAGTTTCATGCATTCTTGACAAAAGAAGAACTCAGTGGAGTGTTTTTTGTTGTACTGTTAAGATTTCATAATATAGGTTGTGTTGTATCAGGGAGAATATAATTCTAAGAAAGCTTGTGGAATGGTTAATGATACAGAGGATGTAGTCCTCGAGGTTGTAGCCTTAGTCCAACAAGTGACAGCTATTAACTGTCTCTTTGTAGAGCCAATAGAAATCATTGTAGAGTCAACAGAAATATCAACTCAGAATTTATCCATTTCAATATCAAGGGAAAGTTGAAAGCCAGTGCAGTCATGAATAAACACTATGGAAAGCTTCAGGCAACAGCTACAATTTACAGGTAAAGGGAGGAAGAGGGAAGAATGTTCTGAGGATACAAAAAGTTTTCTGAAATCTGGAAGAAAACTTTAAATCAAGATTTACCCATTTAAGTTCTTACCAATTCCTCTTTCAGAAGAGCGGTCTACTGGATTTATGGCAATATCTAAAAGGAGATTTAAGGCAGTATTCACAATGGCTGACTTAAACAAAGGGGGAGGCTGGCTAGCCCAAAATCCTACATTCAGAAAAGCAAAGTGTCCTCCATTAGGGAAAATCAAAGCAAGGCCATTTTTCTTAAATTGTGTTTAGATAAGCCTCTCTTTCCCACCAGAGACATTTGAGGTCAGCTTCCTTAGATCAGGGCAAGTTTTTCTGTGCCCAGATTCTACGACTGGTATTTTTTTGTGTAGCATGCAAGTATTTTCAGTGTGTGTTTGGTGTCCTGTTTGTACACCTAACAAATCGGACATGGGGACACCCCACTTTCAGATTCTAAATTCATGAGGTGCTCAAGCCTAGACAAGAAGTGATTTGTGAAATTTCCCATAGCATAAATATAGAACCTCCTAACCCTGCCCCAGTCTGCCTAGTTACAATAAGCACTAATGACTAATCTCAGGTGCTTAAAGATATGCAGATTTTGATTCATCCTCTTGAAATCCCATCTTATGTTTCAGTCCAGGTTTTATAGTCACAAGTCCATTTAAAAAAATATCTCTGAGTCTAGTTCATATCCTTCAATAGAGAATCTGAGGATAACCGTACTGACCTCAAATACTGTACTTTCTGATCAAACTGTATTACACAGTTGTGAGAAGTCTTCATAATACATTGAATCACAGCAGTAATTCTGTTAAAAGCAGTAATTGCTCCATATCGGAGCAGATTCTTGGCATTTGACTAGCAGGAATGCTATTTTTACATGCATGGTAAATCTAAGACTGATAACATAGGGGTTAAATACCCTCCAAAACCTAGAAAATGTGAAGAATTAAGTGAAAGTAAATGCTTTTATGTATATTTAAGTAGGGTGTAGTAAAAAGGAAACACACTGTGGCTTGCCCTGCTTAGAACTTGGCTCTTTTAGCTTTAGAAATGTTACAAAGCATTGGCACTGAAGTTATTTACAGAAGGTTGGAGCAGGGAAAGGTGCATGAGGGGAAAGAAAGGCACTCTCTGGGAGGTGAAGGCGTTCTGTTGAGGGGAAGATTCAAAATCTCTGTGAAACCTGTGTTTTCACTCAGGGCTTCAGTTTGTCTGATTGTTTCTTTCAGAAACATTTACTGAGTTTGATTCTAATACTCATTTGTAGTCACTGTTTGGTAAAGAGGAAGCAGTATCGATAAGCCAGTAAGCAAGAAAGTTCTGTATTCTGCATGGTCGCTCCATATTACCAGTCTGATTTCCACAGCTTTGTTCCTTGTGTCTATTTACACTCAAGCTAAATAGGCTTGGGCATAAATGTGGTACAGTTTCTGCTCACTTTGACTTGTGGTGGCATTTAGCCCTTGACACACAGGGTGAAGTTGTGATAGTGAGAGTTGCAGTTGAAGATAAGGTCCTTGATATGACCAAACACTGGTTTTGCAACATTTAATAATTTTATTAACTTTTCATGAGTGCTCTGGCTATGTTTTAACTCAGTGTTTTGTACATGTAAGTTCTCTTCTGCAGTTCCAGTTGGAGAGATTCTTTACACCTTTGAGCATAGTCATGGTTCTGAATAGCTTCTGATACCCAGCCAAATGTAGCTGCAGTTTCTATCTGGGTGGGTAATCCCAACATACAGCCTGAAATATGAAATGTAGCCTGAGGAAAGGCTGTTTGTGAAGATAGGTGCTCACTGACAGAATCAGCTGCAAACCCTCAAGCAGTATAAACTTCAGAAATGGAACAAGGTCTCTGCACAAACATATGTATGCCAACTATGGGAAGGATGATACTTAGCTGGTACATTTCAGGGTGTACAAACAGAAATATACCACTTTTTAGGTTTTGCCTATCATACAAAATGACTTAATCAGTAAACTGCAAGCAACCCCAAACAGCTTTGCTGAATTGATTCGTAAAAATAACATTATGCAGTGTTCCTAATGATTTAACAGAGGTATTCAGGAGTTTTATTTTACCCAGTTGCAAATTTTTTGTTATGTCAAGCTGTTTATTTGAATGTATTTTGAAGTCTCATAAAGAAGGGTGATAAAGAAATTAACTGTACTATGATTAAAGGTGTAGATACTTCTGTGTTTTACAGGAGTGTGTGCACTGGAGGCAGTTCTGGTGAAAGCTGATTTGTATTTGATTTTGTCCATGTGGCAAAGTTTTTTTCATGGATTACAGAAGTTCCCAGCAGTGGGAACTTTTCCTTTAGCTTGAAGACAAGATGGTATCAGCTGACAAGCAGACTTTTGCTGCTTCTTGAGAAACATTCACGATCACTGGCCTTGTCTTGGGTCACAGATGTCTCAGAGTTTTCTGTAATGTTTTGCTCTGATTCACTGCACTGAGGAAAGCTGAATGGTTTCAGTTCTGTTTCAGTTCAGACTATCTTAGTCATCAGTCTCAAAATGAAAAATGGAAATCTTTCAGCAAAGCAGAGGGTTAAATTCCTCTTGACAAAATTGAAAACATAATAAAAAAATGTTTCAAAGGAATCTAATGTAAGCTTGAAATATAGATGACACTGCAATCTAGAATGAATTTTCATACTTCTCAGCTTCTTTAGCTGAATCCCTTCTTGCCTTCAACTCTTCTGCAAGGCACTGTTTTACAGGGTGGAGTAAGCGCTAGTCTGAGTCCAGATGGGCCCAGGTGCTCCCCTGCTTTCCCCCAGCTTGCTCAGACCTGAAGAATTCATTACATACTTCATGAATTTAATCTTAAAATTCATTCAGATTTATGTAATCTTCATTTTCTCATCTCTGCTTCTTTCTTCCTTGCTAACTAATCCTTCTGAAGCATGCTGTATTAGCTTGGGTACTTACGGGAGTCAGGTGTTGGTTTTGGTTATTTATACCTGCATTTGAAATGCACTCACTCTCTGCTCTGTTGATTTGCTCCCTAGGCTCATGCCACTGTTCAAAACACTAATTGAATGGCTACTTTACTGGATTCCTCCATGCCCAGATTATCCTGTATTGCTCTGTTCTTCATGGCTTCCTTGCAGCTTTCATATCGTAGAGAATATTCTCTATAGTTAATTTTCTGTGATTTTTGAAGGAAGCTACAATGTGAGGTATCCCTGATAACCATCCAAGACATTTCTAGTGTAAAGGTGGCAGACCTGTAAAGGTTCTGAACTGTGCTGTTTTGCCCGTTACTAGCTTTTGTGATCTAAGCTTTTGCCATCCTTTAGTGTGCTACATTAATTAGTGTGTTTAGCTGAGGAAAATAACTTGGCAGCGTAGAGCAGTGAGTTCTGCTTCCTCTTTTCTGTGTGTGCAAAAGAGGAGATACAGTTGATGAATTTCTAGAATATCTGCCTAACTGTCAGAAGCAGAAATGAAATTAGAAATGCAGAATTATTCAAACAGTCTTGCTTTGGTGAATGTTCTGTGCTGCAGGTAGGTTTATTTCATCCTAAACTTACAGTTGTGTAAATATTACAGAAGTAAATGTATTTAGAGTCTGGACTGTTAAAAGTTTCCTAGCAGCCTTCCAGTATCTGAAGGGGGCCTATAGGGATGCTGGAGAGGGACTCTTCATTAGAGACTGTAGTGATAGGACAAGGGGTAACGGGTTAAAACTTAAATAGGGGAAGAATAGGTTGGATATAAGGAGGAAATTCTTTCCTGTTAGGGTGGTGAGGCACTGGAATGGGTTGCCCAGGGAGTTTGTGAATGCTCCATCCCTGGCAGTGTTCAAGACCAGATTGGACGAGGCCTTGGGTGAGATGGTTTAGTGTGAGGTGTCCCTGCCCACGGCAGGGGGGTTGGAACTAGATGATCTTAAGGTCCTTTCCAACCCTAACTATTCTATGATTCTATGATTATGTTCTTAATACCTGCATGGGAGGGAAATTTCATTAATTCTTAGAATTGTATAGCCTACATGAGAAAATCCTGTTCTTTCTATTCCCTGACGTAGAAATTATTAAGGAGTTAGCATTTCATGTGATATTCCCCAGCTGGAAGATTATGTGTGTTTGAAACTCTCTTTTGAGGAAGCTAACAAGCATGCAGAGGACTTTGGCTGGTTCTTCACTCAGAGATTAATTTCATGCACAGAAGGTGGGTTATATTTGCTCCATTGTTTACATCTTTTTGTTACATGTATTTTGGACTCCAGATGTCAGGTGCTGGTGTTTCTTTACTGTTGGAGGATATTCTTGCATTTTGAAATATCAGTGAAAATGCTCATCTGTATGTTGAATTTCAGCAAAGAAGAAAGGGGAACAAGTTGTTGGCCTGACAATTTTCATTCTCAGCCAATTCTAATTTAATACCATCCCAAAATAGTGCTGGCAGGGTAACCATTGATCCTTAATATTTCTTTGCCAGACATATGTGCTTTATTTTTTGACAGTGGCACTCTTCAGTGTTATATAGTGTGGATGATCGCTTGCCACACTGTATAGCATAGCATGCATGGTAACTTGAAACACATGTGGCACTGGAGCACAGAGAGAGAGTATCTTTCTGGTTTTTATCTCCTTCACAACATTTCTTGCTTTGTTCCTGGTGTCCCTTTTGTCCAAGGTAAAGTTCCTCCACATAGTTCCAGATCAAAGTTTATTTGATTCCAGAGGTTCTTTACCAGCCTGGAGTCTGAAGAACAGGGTCAACTGCTCTGTGAAGGAAGCTGGGTCGTATTTCCTTGTGCTTGTGTGTGATACTGTACTTTGACCAACCATCCCAACTTCACTGTTATTCTGTGCTCAGATATTCCAGCATCACTTTTTGAAGACAGAATTTGAACTCTCAATTGGATTCTATTGAGGTAGAAATTTATACTTTACTGATTTATTCTTTGATTGCTTTTGGTGATGTTAATTACATGTGTTCTTCCTTAATTAAAAGCTGATTAGCTTGATAGGAGACTTGGAGGATAAGAAGACTTGGAGTACAGATTTGATACCAGTTTTGATATTATGGGTCTGTCTGAGAGCTGCCTGACATTGGCTTTGTTTGACAGGGGGGAAGCTTCTAGCAGCTTCTCACAGAAGCCGCCACTGTAGCCCCCTCTAGCTACCAAAACCTTGCATGCAAACCTTGCTTGCGATAACACTATAATTCTTCCTCAAGATTGTTGGCTTACTGGAAAAATGGACCCCTTTGTGCTGTAAGAAAGACAAAGCTGAGCAGCTTCTTTGATCAGCTGACCTTGAGGAGGTGCATGGTCATGTCCTGGGTCTTTGGGGTGTGAAGAGGAATATTCTTTGGCTCTTTTGACTGAAGAGGTTGCTTTTCGACCAGTTCCTGTGAAGGTCCATGGGGCTTTTGAAGTTTGGTCCCCTAAAGTGTGGGGATATGGGGTGTACAGAAAGAACAGATTGGAGACTTGTTGTGTTCTCCTTTACTCCTAAATACATTAATGTCTGTTTGTACTGGTTTTAGATTTTTCAAGGTTGTTGAGAAATTTTTATTTCTTAACATAACATTCAACTGATTGTATACCTCCCATTATAAGGGAGTTAATTTCTACTAAGATAATCAATAATTGGCATTAAAGAATGGGGATGAGGAGGATTGATAAGAACTTAATAAGATGTAAAGATTAAGAACTTAATAATATGTAAAAATGAAAATCTTATTGCTTGCCTAATTTAATATTGAATTTTAATTTAGCAATAAAAAGCAAAATTCAGTGATTCAACTATTTCAGCAAATTTAGTGTGGTTTTTTTTTTCACAGGGCTGGATTCATCACCAAGACATATTGAATAGAGAACAAGGATATGCATCTATGTAAAAAACCCAGATAAACCTGGAAAGCATAATGGGACACCTTACAAATACCTATGTCTTTGCTTGTGTCTTTGCATTCACGCTATGGAATAATATCCATCCAACTGTGGAAAATGAATTTATTGCAAATTATTCAAGCAGTTTGCTAACTAATGTTCCAGAAAACATTCCAGTCCATACTCATGTATTAGATTTGTCACATAACAGGATCTCTGGACTTGGTATCTCAGATTTTATTTCTCTTTCTGATCTTCAGGTATTAAATCTTTCTTATAATCTAGTTACAGAGCTTAACTTTAGTGTCTTCATTTTTAATGAAGATTTAGAATACTTAGATTTATCTCATAATAACATTTTGAAACTTTACTGTCAAACTCTTGTGTATCTTAAACATTTAGATCTGTCTTTCAATAAGTTTACTGCCCTGCCCATCTGTCAGGAATTTGGGAACATAGTTTGTTTGGAGTACCTAGGATTAAGTGCCACGATGATACGAAGGTCAGACTTCAGGTATATAACGCATCTGCAGCTGCACACTGTCTTTCTAACATTAGAAGACTTTTCCCTGTATGAGCCTCAGAGTCTGACAGCCTTGAACACAAGGAGCCTCCACATTGTGTTTGCAGCAAACCAAAACTTCAGTTTTCCCCTATTGTATGATGGAATGAGCACTTCAGAAAACTTAAAAATAGTTAATTTAAGATATACCTTGAGCTATAAAGATTTCCCCTCTCCTTCTTTAGCACTTCTGAAGGAAATCAAGACAACAGCTCTCATGCTTGACACTGTGGATTTACAGTGGGCTATAATTTTGCAGATTTTCCTGTTTATTTGGTATTCACCTGTGGAGCATTTGACTGTGAGAAATTTGACTTTTCGGGGACCACTGGTGGAGCTGACTGAATATGACTTTCTACCCTTATTAAGCTCTATGGAGCAATTAATCTCTTTGCGTGGCTCCATGAAAGTACTAACTTTGGAGCATGTTCGTAATAAGGTTTATTATTTCAACCAGGAGGTACTATACAGAGAGTTTTCAGAGATGAATATTGCCAGTTTGACAATATATGACGCATATATGCCACACATGCTTTGCCCCAATAGAACAAGCTCATTTCAGTATTTAAATTTTTCTCGCAATGCCCTGACGGATGAGCTGTTCCAGAATTGTGGCACTCTGACAGATTTGAAATTACTTATTTTGCAGAGGAATAAATTTGAGAGCCTCCCCAAGGTTAGCTTCATGACCAGCCGTATGAAATCACTGAAATACCTGGACATGAGCAGCAACTTGCTGCGTCATGAGGGAGCTGATGTGCAATGCCAATGGGCTGAGTCTCTGACAGAGCTGGACCTGTCCTCAAATCAGTTGGCAGATGCTGTGTTCGAGTGCTTGCCAGTCAACATCCAAAGTCTCAACCTCCAAAACAATCAGATTAGCAGTGTCCCAAGGGGAATGGCCGAGCTGAAAGCCTTGAAAGAGCTGAATTTGGCATCGAACCGTCTGGCTGACCTGCCAGGGTGCGGCGACTTTACATCCCTGGAGTTCCTGAACGTAGAGATGAATTCGATCCTCACCCTGTCTGCCGACTTCTTCCAGAGCTGTCCAAGGGTCAGGGAGCTCCAAGCCGGAAAGAACCCGTTCAAGTGCTCGTGTGAACTGCGAGGCTTTATCCGTGGGGAGAGGCAGTCTGGGGGGAGGCTGTTTGGCTGGCCTGCGGCGTACACATGTGAATACCCAGAGGACTTGCGAGGGACACAGCTGAAGGACTTCCACCTGAGCGAGCTGGCTTGCAACACGGTGCTGCTCCTTGTGACAGCTCTGATGCTGACACTGGTGCTGGTGGCTGTCGTGGCCTTCCTGTGCATCTACCTGGACGTGCCGTGGTACGTGCGGATGACATGGCAGTGGACACAGACGAAGCGGAGAGCTTGGCACAACCACCCTGCAGAGCGGGAAACCGTTCTGCAGTTTCACGCCTTCGTTTCATACAGTGAGCGTGATGCTTTGTGGGTGAAGGACGAGCTGATCCCGAACCTGGAGAAGGGCGAGGGCTGCATGCAACTGTGCCAGCACGAGAGAAACTTCATCCCCGGCAAGAGCATTGTGGAGAACATCATTAACTGCATTGAGAAGAGCTACAAGTCGATCTTTGTGCTGTCCCCCAACTTTGTGCAGAGCGAGTGGTGCCACTATGAGCTGTACTTTGCCCATCACAAGTTGTTCAGCGAGAATTCTGAGAGTTTAATCCTCATTTTACTGGAGCCGATCCCTCCCTACATTATCCCTGCCAGGTATCACAAGCTAAAGGCTCTGATGGCAAAGCGAACCTACCTGGAGTGGCCGAAGGAGAGGAGCAAGCGTGCCCTTTTCTGGGCTAACCTGAGGGCAGCTATTAACATTAACCTGCCAATATCTGTTGAAGCAGATGAGGAGCAGAGTGATGTTACTTCTACCAGTAATATAAGTCAGTATGTGAATAACTGACTTGACTGTCTTGCATATAATTTTGTTAATGAATTTTTTGTAGTCTTTTACGGTGTTCCTAGTTAGTAGCAAAATGTTATTGTGATAGATACAGCAATTGCCGTTGCTTATTCCTGGTTAAGGGTTGAAAGTCAGAGCCATTAATCCTTATTTAACATTATTCTCTCTTCATTGTACTAATCATTCCCACTTGCCTAGATTTACCTACCAAGTCATGATTTCATAGAATTCAGTATTCTTTGTCTTCAAAATAATATCTGAATTTTTGAAATTTTTATAGTACGATACTGCTGCTTTTTGCCATGATCATATCAAGCTATATGGGGAGCTCATTTTCCCTGTTTTCTAAAAGATAGAAGCTTGATGTTTGGAGATGAATCCCCTTTTACTTTCAATGAACTCTTTTGCTTTGCCCTTCCAGTCATCATGCATGTGAGAAAAAGCAGTTTTCATTGGTGACTTCTCTGCTAAAATCAATCTGATTAAACTAATGGTATTTGTTGATAGGCAACGTCTAATAATTGTGCTTGGGTTTAATTTGACAATCTAATAAACCTCTCATTGTTTCTCTGTTATTGAATTTGGTGGTTTCACTTCTCTGGTGATGTGGAGTTGTGTAATTATGGCTCAATGGAAATGCAAAGCCCTCTGATCACAGCCATGAGCAGCACATGTGGTGAGCAAGAAGGTGTGTTCCTTACCACTGACCAAGGTGGGTGATCAAGCACCTGCCAGGTGTGTGTCACAGTAGCTAGATGAAGCAGTGGACAGGAAGCTATGGGAGAGCCTCCTTGTGTACAGAGGTGCTGTGACATTGATGTGCACCCACCGACCAGCTCAGGTTAACTGGCTATCGCAGTACGATGCCAGGTGCCTTTATGTCAATGTAGAGCTTTGGAAAGATGGGATAAAATTCTCTATTAAGTCCTAATTTCAGGTGAAGGGAAGTTAGCCACTGACCTCTGTGATAACACATAACTGGGATCTCCCCATTCCCAAAGCCAGGACCAAGCTTTGTTTGTGTACTTTAAAAAGGGCTGCTAAGTCCTCAGTACTTCAGTGGGAGCTGGTGGATGTGGCATGCTTGAAAAGCAGGTTACTTATGGTGAGCGGGGGTGTTCAAAGACACAGATAAGCCTAGTGCTTTGTAGGAGTTCAATTCAGGAAGGCTTTATCCTACCCTAAGAGTCACTTGTGCTTCATGGCAGACCAACATGGTGGCCAGGACCAGCTGACACCATGGGGTGCTGCTGAAAGTGCATTGCACACCTCATAGCCAGCCAGCCAGTTATAGCAGGCTGCAGGGCTCTTTCCACAGATGTAGTAATGTTAAACCTGGGGCTGAGGCCTGAATGTGCTGCTGAAGCTTCAATATTTCCTTCTTACTGGTTTTTCCCTCTGGGTGCAGGTTCTTCACTGTCTCTGTAACATGGCTGTCTACTCTTAGGCAGTTCCCTGGGTAAGCTCTGGTGGCTTCTTTATTTCAGCTACAGCCAGAGTGAGGTCTGTAATTTAAGGCTTGTGTGCTGTACGTCTCCCAGGTACCCAAGGAACAGTTTGTTCAGTCAGAGGCCAGTGCTCATAAGGCGCATTAGGAGTTTTGTAGCCTTTACCTCTTCAGGGCTACTCTGCTCTTTACAGTGAGAATGCTGCCAGAAAACCTGTCCCCCTCCTTTCTGAAAGACTCCTCCTTTCCCAAGCGTTACTCTCTAAGGACATGTTCAGCATTCACGCTTAGTTGCAATGTGTTAATGGGAATACATTCTGTCCTGTTTACCAGATGAGAAAAGAGGAAGTAAAATTTCTCAAATCGGGCTTTCCAGTCTCTGTAAATGTAATGCATCAGCAAACAGGGTTTTATGTCCTAAATAATGTACAGGGTCTGGGCTGTGGAAAAATTCCTCGTCTTTAAGACTGTTCTGAAACCTAAGTTGTAGGTAGATGTGAAAGGAATATTTTCTCAGGTCTGTCATCTATATTGTTTTAGGTCATTAACCCTGTTACACCCCTTTATATGCTGTCCTTCCTATGTCTTCACAACTCTTTCATGCACATGCCAAGTATTTCAGTTATATCCATACTGCACTGAACGCTGCAGCTGCTTAAAATACACTTCTGAATTCCTCTGATAAAGCAGATTCAATCTGTTGGTTGTTGTTGGTTTGTTATTTTTCTCATGAGTTCTCTGTTGGAACTTCCCTTTTCTCCTTCCCTGAAGCTGTTGCTGTTCAGAGGATAGAGAAGTTGTTGTTGTCAAGTTGTTGAAGTTTTGTTGTGGCTGAACATACCAAATGCTTTTTTTTTGCTGTTTTCTGTGAAGCAATGTGCTGTTAAAAGGGTCTTTAAAAAACGTGTTCACAGAGATGCTGCTTGGGAAGCAGCTTGCACGAGTTACAGGACAGGAGCGTCTGGCTGAGCTCTTGTAACACTGTCATACTAATGTCCATACTTGTAAGAACCGTGTGAAGCGCTGCTCTTGCTGAGCTCACAGGCCTGGAAGCACACACTGTGCATTTACATTGTCAGTGTTTGGCCAGGCCAGAGTTTTAATTGTAGAGGGTATGTTAAAAGTGTGTTTATGGCTACAAATTGCAGTAAAGACGCAAAGAGCAGTTGTGAACCCTTGAGCAGATTTCCTGCAGGACGAGGATCTGACTCAGTGACAGAAGGTCAGGCAGAGGAACGGCTTTATTTCTTTACGAGAAAAGAAATGTTTCCTCATATTAGTGTCTCGAAGCTCAATTTTTGCCTTTTTCTCAGGCTGAGGCTGACGCTCAGTGGCCGGTTGAAATATCGCGATTTCCGGAAAATAAATAGTCGCTCATGCAGGCACACGCACATCGGTCGCGTTTTGCTGCTGGGGAAAAAATGAAACAGCTGATCTTACCAGCCCGGCAGGTGCAGGAGCCCCTGGTAGGTGTGTGCGGGCTAAGGAAGACAGGGCACGATACGCTCTTCCTCATGGCAGCTCCATGCTGGGTCAGTGGCTCTGTCCCCCACTTCACCTGTCCTGCTGGCTGAGTATGCTCTGGAGTGCAGATACCGACTGGTTCGCTGCCAGATGAACCCTGGAAATCAACAGCATGTTGTGAACAGAGACTCTTGCTTTACAGGAAGCAAGCTTTATTTTCAAGCAGGATGCCAAGGAAGTCACACCAGCCATTTTCTCACATTCTGATTTCTGTTTGCAGGGGTTTGTTTTTATTGCCTCACTTCTGCTGTACCTGCTTTCCCTTCTGTATGGCACCATGAGAGTGTAGGTGCAGACTGGGCTGATCTGCTGGGTCCCAGGCAGCAACAGACCAATACCCTGACGAAGGAATGGAAGGCGTTAAGAGATGCATAGTGAATTCAAATGGGCTCACTCCTTTCAGGCAGCTGGAAAGGTGTGAATAAATAAAGAAACTTGTTTTGTCAGCTTTCCACATCATCGTTTCTCAGCAAAGCCCACAGGGGTGCCTGGAGGTGAGCAGGATTGGTGCACACTGATGCGCTTGTGGCCTGTGTTAGCTCTGGCACCCTGGCCTTGGCAAGCACTGTGGGGAATAGCATGGTTAAAGGAGGAGGCCCCGTGTTGAAAGTGCTAAAAAACGCAGACTCGTGGGTTTGGTGCTCCAGCCCTGCCAATGGGCTGATCAGAGTGCTGTGATTAGAAGCAAGTAAACCACTTTTTGTGAGTTTGCCGCAAATGCACTGCTGAGCACAGGAGCTAGGATCATAGAATCAACTAGGGTGAAGACCTACAAGATCAAGTCCAACCATTACCCCAGGGCTGTGAAGTCCACCACTAAGCCATGTCACTAAGGTCCTCATCTACATGGGGTTGGAACGCTTCCAGGGACGGTGATTCCACCACTTCCTGAGCAGCCTGTTCCAATGCCTGACTAACCTTTTGGTGAAGAAATTTTTCCTAATATCCAATCTAAACCTCCACTGGCACAGCTTGAGGCTGCTACCTCTTACCTATCGCTTGTTATGTGCTCACAGGCAGCGCCTGCAACACCTCGTGCTCCTGGCCTGCCTGCTCCAGGCCTGCCTGCTCCTTCCCTTGGTGGTGTGTGAGGTGCTGCAGAAGGGCCTCCTGAAAAGCCAGGGCTGCCTGGAGCAGGCAGGGATCCCTGGGCATCCCTCTGGCCCTGCCCTGTGCCGTGGCTCTCTGTCGCACAGCGTATGACGACAGGACCACAGATGATACTCTAAGGGTTTTATTAACAAGCATAATATATATGCACTGTATACTAAATAGAGTATGAGGCCTGTACAGTACAAATTTATGTTCACAGTTCGCCATGACAAAATGTCATTACTGAATTCCCATTGGACTACCAAAGTAGAAACAGTGAAAGTACATTAAACATTCACATCTTTAGTAAGATTACCAAAATGTCCTGTATTTGCAAGTGATAGTAATGCACACTAGAAACCTTTAATTACCCATTCAGTCTTATTAGCTCATAAAATATATTACACTTTATTTAAAAATGTCTGCATAGTTTATACAAGTATTAAGGTAAATGGAACACCCCTGCTGTCGCTGCAGGTGAGAGATGCTAAGCAGAAAGATTATTTTGACCCTCTAATATTAAAAGTACATTTTTTAAAAAGTGCTAATATCTGTAAAATGCAATGAAAACTGGTGTAGCCCTCTTAAGATAATGTAAAATGCTTTGCAATTTTGTTACGGAAAGGAATTGTATTCATCTACGTGTTGCTAACCTTGACAGAGACAAGAACATACTTGGACAAGATGTGGCATTACAATTATCACTGCAGAACAGTGGTGTATATTTAAATAAACCCACAAACATTAATACCTGCTTAGCTTTTTCTGATTGTCGTAGAAACTTAGAAAATTATTATAGTTATACGGCTTAAACAAGCATGTTTTAGTAAAGCAGTGTTACCTGTCACACACTGCAATGCTGCTAGGGAAAAAGGTGGTTTTTTAAAATGTGCATGTTCTGCAGGATTAGGGTTTTCTATCTTTGTATCTAAACTGATTTCTCTTCAGGGCAGACAGGACTGGCTTTAAAAAGTATTTACTTGTGTATATTTTAAGATACTCCTCAAATCAGAGTTTGCTAAAATGAACCAATGAGCCAGTTAAGATGTAAGTTCACGTTTTCAGCAGAAAGATGAAAGCATACTTGTTCGTGAGTTCAACACCCCAGGAGACCCCACAGACACAAGTGAAAAATCCCACAAGCAAGGCAATTACATGAAATAATCTCAAATATTTGTATTTAATATTTAGATTTCTGTTGTCCTGAATCACAAGGCACATGGATAATATTTTATAGTTCTATTGAATCGCCACTGTATTTGTCCCCACCGTTAGCGTAAATATTGTCAGGAAAAAGGCAGACAGGCTAATGAATGTATATTGGAAACAACCTAGACTAAATTCTGCAAAGTAACTCCCAGTTACAGAGAAGTTCTGCTTTTAGGGGACTTGAT